TGTCTGTTTGTTCCAGTTAATCTCTGAAATGGCTGGACCGATTTAGACGGAACTTTTTTTGGCAGCTGATGTAATAAGGAGTAACTTAGGCTACTTGTATTTTAGAAAAAATCTTTAATTTTAGAAAAATAAAATTATATTCCACGCGGATGAAGTCGCAGGGACAGCTAGTTTACTATAAAATTATTGGTGTTAGAACAAGTTTAAATATATTAAACATAGTAATATTTGAACAATCGGCTAACATAATACAAAATAGTTCTATAAATAGGTACAACACCACGAACCAATAATTGCACTAAAGAAATGTCTAAAGGTATTGGTAATCTAAAGGTACATTCTTTCCGATTGTCCATTCAACCTAACTCACAATTCGCATCCCTTTTACGTTAAATTGATTTTTTATCATCTTTTAATCCAAAGAGGCCTCGACCAATGGCGTTATTCACGAAGCGTGAAGACCTTTTCAGAGGTACGTATCGTATTTGTTTTATCATAAAGCTTCGTTAGTCCCTCGTGATTACAAGAAATGAGGAGAATGTAAATAGAGAACAAGTTGAAATAAAAATACTTGAATAAATTAAATTTATTTCCCAAACCGAAGACTTACTTAATTTTAAAAATAAAAAGGTGAAAAGCTTTGATTGCATCGCTATTGCTTTATGATTTGTTTGGATATATTCGTTTAAAGTGTCCTATTACTGTTATATAAACAAATAATTGTATGTTTCTTTAGGAGTAGTATCCATCGGCTACATAGCCGGAAGTTACAACATGTAATATATATTACAAACTAGTTGTTGAAATTTAACTTTATTTTTCTAGAATAAAAGTAGTCTAAGTTACTCCTTATTACATCAGCTACCTGCCAAAAAAAGTCCCGTCAAAATCGGTCCAGCCATTTCAGAGACTAGCCGGAACTAACATACAAACAGACAGACAAATATTGTAAAAAATGTCATTTGGCTGTATGTACCGTATTTATATTCATATGCATGTAGTAAAAACTGTTTACTTTATTTTGTTTTATTGTTATGCATTTGTTGTGGTGTGTGTTTCTAAATAAATTTCTGACATATTTTGTATTGGAGTGATCTGATAATTAAAATCGACGCATAAATACATGAACTGCTTGATAAAATACTATTATAAAAAACTAAACTAAAATATAAATAGTGTTGCCCCGGAGTCGTATCATTGCCTTATTATTACCCCTTCCTATCGTGTAACTTTACACCAGTCCTTCGTATCAAAACAGGTCAGGGCAGTCAGCTTTTTACCATTCCCTGTAATGTAATTACATAATGTTACGGCATTTCGAAATTCACCTAATCAGGGTTTCGTATAAAATATCACTAACATCGTCATAGCCTCAAGGTTAGACTTAGAAGAGCTTCATTGAAATTTAAATTATATAAGACCAGAATAAAGACGTAATTACAGTACTACGATGTGACGAGATATCAAGACATCCTGAAGGGATCGTGATTGATTTACGATATTACCTACTCCAGGAAGTAGTAAGGGGTTAAACCTCATGAGAAAAATCTTGACTTATTTCCAAAAAACAGCAATATTCATAATATTAATACAAGATTTAAAGACAAATATCGTTTAGAAAAAGTTAATAGGTCTTTTATGGGAATAGGTATAAAAATTTACAATAAGATACCAAAGGATATGTTGGAATTACCCTTAAATAAATTCAAAACATCTGTTAAATCATATTTACTGAGCAAAGCCTATTACTCACTAAACGATTACTTGAATGACGAGTGTGCATGGCAATAGTTGTTCATGCACTGAATTTTCATTTAATGTTAGACATAGACACCTATATAAATAAACATTGTAAATAAACTGGCTTTAAAAAAAAGTAATTCAATTGAGTTTCTTGCCAGTTCTTCTCAATTGGATCTATATACCGAACTGGACGGTAGGGAAAAAAATAAAATTATAATGTAAAAATTTGACGTTCATAAGCGGCTAAAATGTCCTACATGAATAAATGATTTTTGAATTTGAATTTGAATTTGAATTTGAATTATATACAGTTCATTATATATTTGATTTTATAACAACCACTAGCTACTCGAGCCGGCTTCGCACGGGTATACATGTATTACATATATAAACATTCCTCTTGAATCACTTTATCCATTAAAAAACCGCATCAAAATCCGTTGCGTAGTTTTAAAGATTTAAGCATACATAGGGATAGACAGCGACAGCGACTTTATTTTATACTATGTAATGATGAGTAATTTAAAACCTTGTATTATTATTGAGCAGTGCTATAATGTTAAAAACCATATGAAACCTTTAGTAACTTTGTGATTGTTTTTCTTCATAACTGCCCCACAACGCTTTCTTTAGGTATTCACCTAAAAGTTAGCTGATGGGGAATCGTTTTTGTACAAGTTATATTGTGCATTAAAGAGTCTTACTATACTATTATATTACTTAATCTACTATTATAAACGCGAAAATTTGTGAATATGGATGGATATTTGTTACTCTTTCATACAAAATTCTAAGAAATTGTTCGGATTAATACCAGCTGCTGAGTTTCACCACCGTACCACCCGCCAGAAACTGAAATACCATCCTGATCATCTGGATGAATGGCGGTCTTCCACAGTGCGGTTTTCTAGAAACTTTTTGCTTCGCACAACCACATTGTGGAATCACCTTCCAGCAATTGTATTTTCGAACCGATACGATATTGAATCCTTCAAGAAAAGAGCTTATTCCTTTTTAAAAGGTCGACAACGTACTTGCAATTCCTCTGGTGTTGCGGGTGCTCATGGGCGGCGGTAATCACTTACCATCAGGTGAACCGCTCGTTTGTAACCTGTGTTATAAAAAAAAAACAAAAACGACTAAAGTTCAAGCAATAATATATTACTGTAAAATTTCATAAAGCTTGAAATTCTATTTCCGTGAAAGAGTAACAAATGTCCATCCATCCGTACTAACAAACTTAAATATTTTAGATATTAGTAAGATGACAGTCAAAATCAAAATCATTTCATCATCATCTTGACACAGTCATTTGTTCAGTATCAAAAAGAACATCAGAAAATGCTTAGTGTTGGTAATTTTTTATTGAAATTTATAGTTCAGAATGACATTAAAATGAACGTATGATAGGTACATTTAATCGTTGGCGACCTACCTCCGGAAGGAAACATATTAAACTCAGGATGTTCCATTATCTAGGACACATAAAAGGATTTCCTCGAGATTCACTTCACTGATGCTTAACCTTTCTAAGTATGGAATTGTCAAGAAAAGAATAACTGGTCCAGACAACTAAACTGATGTAATTTACTAACTTTACGTATTGGATATATATTACCTACTGTAGCCATCCCGACTTCAAGTTTCAAGCATCTATCATCGAGCTTCAAAAATGACGATACAAACTTTCAGCTCCCTTACAATCCTTTTTTCCCTTGTCCTTTCTCAGACTATACACATTATTTCTGTACCAAAAATCATTAAAATGAGATTAATAGTTTAGGCATGAAAGCCTAACTGCCAGACATAGAATTACTTTCGCATTTATAATCTTATATAAATAAAATTCTCGTGTCAACAACACTGTCAGTTACCATAGTCCATCGAAACGACATCACCGATTTTTTTGAAATTTATAGTTATTATATATTATATTGAAATTTATTACAGTAGGTCTAAAAATCGGCTACTACCTATTTTTCATATCCCTAAGTGATACGGGTTGTCCACCCCTAACATTTTTTTATAATGTGGTATTTAAAGATATATACAACTCAAAAATTTCACCCTTCTATCACCAACCCCTATTATTTATTATTATTTAAGTTTAAATGGCAAAACAACGTTTGCTGGGTCAGCTACAAATATATATAATATTATACATATTGCATACACTTCAACCCTTATTGAAACATAAGTAGTGCAATATGTACCAGAGTCATAGTTATCTTATTATTTTCTATTTGCGGCAGATTTGTAATATTCTTCTAACAATAATAATAAGCAAGAATAGACATTACCAAGTTAATAATATATATATACAATGAGCGCTTTGTTATTTTAAAATAATCACAGGATACGTGATCTCGAATTCAATATTTATTTTATAATTAATGGGGATATGAATATAATATTATATTCCACAGGTGTATTAGACAGATTTATAAATTAATAAAATAATTCGTTACTAGATCATTTGTAAATTCTGTTATACGCTATATATAATACTAGCTACTCGTCCCGGCTTCGCATGGTTGTACATGTATTATATATATAAACTTTACTCTTAAATCACTCTATCTATAAAAAACCGCTTCAAAATCTGTTGCGTAGTTTTAAACGTTTAAGCATACATATGGACAGACAGCGGCAGCGACGTTGTTTTATACTATGTAATTATAAACATTTATACCACAAATAACATTATAGACTGTATATAACACTCAAGAATAAAAAAAAAAGAATTTAACTATAATCCTACTGAATTATAATTGAAGGAAGATGAATAAATTATTAGCGACCATTATTCGCACCCTCTATAATTGACCATTGCGTTTCAATAGTTCAGGCCCATTCAGACATTAGTTTGATTAATTATACTTTTGGTAATTATATGTAAAATATCAGAGATAGACAAAGTCATTTGCAGCCATCAATTTCACCTGCAGTTTGCTTTGTAAGCTGTGTGTTACGGTTGTAGGGTGCTATTAGGCAGTAAAATTACTGGATAAAAGGATAATTCTCTGGAATAGCAACGCATGTATGGAATCTAGGGTGACATATGGTAATATGATATCCGTAGTGCTATTTAAAGGAATATTTAAAGTATATTAAAAGGCAGCATATTTAAAGGAAGAATCTTAAAAGATAAGTCTGAGGTGTTGAATAATTAGGTAATTAAAAAAAGGAACACGCTATAACAATTTCATGTTTTTTTAAACAATTATAGTTAGACTGATATATACGCATGTACAAACCTCAAGTGGTATAACAATGAATGTCACCATCATATCAGCAATAGCCAGATGCGTCATCAACAGATTCACTCTTGACTTCCTCCGCCGGGATTTCATGAGGGTTGCAAACACCCCCAGGTTACCAATCGCCCCAGTTACAAGCAGAGCACTGTACACGGCGACCACGAACTCCTGGTCTGGTGCAGGAACAGTCACATCACCACGGTCTGTGGTATTCATCACGTCCGTATCCTTCATGGTGAAGTAATCCCAAAATCCCGAACTGTCATGATCATATTCCGATGTGGATGTCCGACTAACATTTTTTAACATTTTACCAATGTTATTTAACATTTAAATTTATATATGCACTACGGTTATTGTTTTTTAATTAATTTGAAACACAATCCATATTACACTTTTATAATATTTTTATAGACTATAATAAGATAATTATTCACTGATGTAAAAAAATAAAAAAATGTTCCAAATGTTAAGTTCTCTTTAAATTTATTATATGTCAAATAATTAGAAAATTTTGAATGAAACTACAAACTTAAATTTATTTCCTTAAAAACAACTTTTACCTACATTTTTCATAATATATAATCTAAACACACGAAAACACTACCAAATTTAGTAATACATTATTATTTAACGATACACTTGATTTTAATAAGTTGGCAAATTTGCGCGCGAAATGGTAGAGTAAAATCGGGACGTTCGCTCGCCGTAGCTATCATCCCCGAAATGACGCTACGATTCATTCACTAAACATTCCTGGCTAGTCAAAGTATCGTGGATGTGAATCAAGTTACAAAATAGTACGTAATACACAGTAATGATTAAGTTTTGATTTTTTTAATTGGTGAAAGAACTAATGTACCTACATCATCATCATCATTACATAGTATAAAACAAAGTCGCTGTCGCTGTCTGTCATATGCCTAAATCTTTAAAAATACGCAACGGAGATTAAAGCGGTTTTTTTTAATAGATAGAGTGATTCAAGAGGAAGTTTTATATATATATAATGCATATAATTCCATAAACAACGAATTCTATCAACCAACCAACCAATTTTCGGTGATAACATTGATGAGAAAAAACTTCCTTCGGCGCCTCATTTCCATTGTGTCATTGACACCAATTAGTGCTGATTGTTTGCAAAGAAATGTCGAAGAAAACTAATGAATGTCTATTTTAAACTCCTTCCATTCTTCAGTGAAACTTTGTAATGAGCTTTCCAACAGTTTGTGTGACTGCAAGTACTTTTTTCACACTCACATAATTTCTTCTCCATTGCATTTGCGTAGGTTCTTCTCAAGTGCGTACTGAATTTTTAGAAATTTTGGGTCCTGTTAATGTGTTTTTGATAAAATATTCACAAATATTTTCCCTTCTGGTGATATAGTATTAACTGTTAGAATAATGCAGAAACAAAATAATATGTTAACACTGGTCCACTATGATTGTAATAGTGAACAGCGATTAATATATATTAAACTCTTAAATAATTGGAGAAAACGTTAAAAAATGTTGCGTAATTAATTATAATCAATTTTTAATTGTGAGCATTATGGTTTGTTGCTTACCCACGAAAAAAAAGAAATAAAACGTGAGCCGAGCAATTGTGATACTTAATATTGCATAAGTATTTTAATGATTATATATATTTCCAATACACATAAATATAAACCTACTTTGCTTTATCCGTAACACTCCTACGCATAACTATTCTGGTTATACCATGACGATAACTTAGAGAAGCTTAAGTATTTTTATAGAGGTATATCTCTATAAAAATACTAATAAAAGTATTGATTGCAAAAATAATAATACTATTGCTGTGTGAACTATGCAGTGCTACTGCATAGTTCACACGCTAAGCAGAGCTAGGATTATAGATACTAAACTGGCAGAATTATTAAAGTACATTTTTGTACATACCTAGACCATTACAAACACTCGTACTTATAAATACAAATCGTTCGAGGAATCGAACCGTTACCATCGAAAGTAAGGTGATATGCTAAACGGCTAGACCATCATAAATTAACGTAAAGCAAGGATTAAAAGTAATGTGGAATGTTGACTGTTGTCCCCATTACTAGCGGTGTGTCAGGTTGACCTGCACGCTGTTACCCCTGGAAACCATCCTAGTAAATTCCTAGTGAATTTTGCCTCGATGGACTAAATTGACCTAACCCCATCTTAATCTTATCATCCTCGACCGCCAGCATAAACCGTTAGCTCAGGCACCATTCTATTATCATCCATAAAAAATGTAACGTATATCTCATGAAAACCTAAGCAACGGCTACGATAACACCTTTTTCGGTGTGATATATACGTTAAGAAGCATTAGTATGCTAATGACTGAATAATTTTATCAAGCAATTATTATCTCGTCCATTTTCACCTAAATTTTTTCTTCCTTGATAGAAATCAATGCAAATTGAGTTTTAATGGAGGTGAATGACATTATCATGCTTGTCGTATTAGAATTATCTATATTAATTAACTGTTAGTTCGTGTATAATAACGCAAATTTGTACGTAAATTAAGAAGATTGACACTTTTTTTAATGTAATTTTAAGTGACGATCCACACAGTGGAAACCGCATCCAAATCGGTAAAGCCTTTATTATATGCCAACAAACGCACATGCAAATAGGCATAAATTATAAAGTCACTACTTTGACTTCTATTACGTCGCAATACATATTATATATATTTATAACAAATGCAATCATGTGTATGTAAAGTTAAGCATTCAATTCAGCAACTATTAGGTACTATTTTTGTGTGCATGTCATACAAAAACTCCTGTAAAACTGAGTGAAATCCAATAATCCTTTCTGCAATGGATGCGACTTCGTTATAGTCCCATATAAATTATGTTCCAATGTATCAATGTCTGTTTTTGTTAGATATAAAATAACTATAATTTAAAAAAAATGCCGATAATTTAATATCTAACAAAGGTATTCAATGAAATTTGCACATTTCAATAGATGCATCTATCAAATGAGTTCTAACTTCAGACAGATCTCATATTCTACGTAAATTAGGTAATTAGTTTTCATTTATTTTCATCGCTATGAATGGAGCTCTACTATAAAATAAACTATTCAAATACATAAGATCTTACTGGTGCTCCATTCATAAAGTCATTCTGTAACACCCACTCAACAATTTACCTTACTTTAAGGATTTTTAAATCTTTTGAATATTTCATGTTAACAACTTAATAAAACTAATTTTATATTTACAACTTAATTTCGCCATATCCCTTAAGATATACGGACAGACTGATAGTATGATATATATTTGAAATCTATTCTTACACATGATTCTTACTTCTTTTAATGTATATTATTTTTTATACTGTAGTTTTGCTTTGCACCTTTGTAGGTGTATTATCAAAATCAATTCTATACAATATCGCTACGAGTAGATTGGTTTAGTTCTCCACCTTCCAATATTGGCTGGATTCATAAAGTTTCCACAATAAATCATGTATGCAGTTCTTGTATGCATATATTTTAAGTCACAGTTTATAACAATAGATTCCTTACAATATGTTTTTCAAATTTCTGGTTTTTATAAATATTATTCATACTAAAATATAACTATATGTATAATAAATTTAAATAATACAAGAAATTGTAAACATGTGCAGTCATTTTTTTTTTATTTAGATCAATACAAATATACAAATATATTACCCAAGCGTATACATACAATATGTCTTTAATCAAAGGTAACGGCCTTCCTGATGGTAAGTGGTAATCGTCACCTATATACATTACTAACATAACTCTACCATGTGAAACACATTACGCCCTATGCGTTGCCACTTAATTGTAAATACAAATAAGCTAACGGCCCACCTGAAGTGGTAACCGTCGGCTATATACATGTAACACGAACACCATCATGTGAACCACATTATATACGTAGCGTTGCTCCAACGGTCCTCCGTAGGAGCAACAACAATTTTTAAAAATAACATCTTATTCCTTTAAGATGTTATAATTTCACCATACTTCTGTCTTCAATGAAACACTTTTTATAAAACAAACTAAAATATGTGAGACTGAGGTACTTTTTACAAAGGCTACATCGGTGTAAATTTAGCACTGGAGCATCTAATTGTCTCAATAAATTACAATTCGGAGTTCCTAAGCTAAAATTAAAGTCGAAATAAGTTTAGAGCCAGCAAGAAAATAGCCAAATACGCATCTAACAGGCGCTTAGACAGTTCCGTATAGTCTACCTACGCATAATATATATTTATATATATATATAGACAACAAAGCAGGCTTAGTAATAGATGTAATATTATCTTATCTGCGGTAATAGGGTTAAGTTGGCACCCTTTATGTAAAAATAATATATTTAAGTATATTAGTTAGTTGTCTAGCACCCATAACTCAAGCTGTGCTTAGCTTGGGCCTAGATGGCGCTGTGTGCATTGTACTGTTGTGCACTGTTATTCCTATAAAGTATTTATTTTAACTTATCTGAAACTAAATCATAACTTAAGCTTAGGCTATAGATAAATGTAAGATAATTGCTTTTGCGATATATATTATTATCCTTATTTAACACATTTACATAATAGGATCCTCATTTTTAAAATATTTTAGTGTGCACAATAAAGAGTTATACTGATATAGGTATTATTATAAATTAATACAAGTCTAGACACGGAATAAACTAGTATACTTTTAATGTTATTTTAAAAATTCCCCTGCAAAGCTGCCATCGTATGTGGACAGTCACGTACAGCTTTGATCTTTGAAATTCAATGTTTACCGTTTCACGATTCATGCACGCACCGGCGGTAAACTGCGCCTTTATTAAATGGTCAACACACGTACCAAAAATTAGGAACAGTACTAAAACAGTGGTGGCGCGGGAAGAATCGATCGATAGTCTTGCTCGAGTGAAGTCAAACTTTGATTTGGCTACATGCGAGGCGACAACGCTTACTAAACTATAATATCCACCTACGATTTACGAGTCTGAGAATCGGATACTTTCTATTTTTCATACCCCTGGGTGATAAGGGTTGTGCACCCGTAACATTGTTTTTTTTTTAGTTTTTAGGCAAATTATTATTTTTTTTTATAATGTGGCATTAAAAAATACATATGATACTAAATTTCTTTCTATCACCAACCCCAATTTTAATTTATGTGGTAAAACAATGTTTGTGGTGTCAGCTAGTATATTATACGATTTTGCTACACACGAGGCGATTTAGTACGATACGCATCGCTACTCCGATATTGCCCCTCGTGTGTAGACCGTTTTAGGTAGTTATGTAAAATGTACATACTGCACGAAATGTAATATCGACGGATACTGCTTCAGTTTGAAACAGAGTAGACAAACATTTAGCCGGAAACAAACATATAGCTATACTACCTGTCGTCCACTTCCTTTACATCCTTACATGTTCATATTAAAAAAAAAATCTTCTGCAGGGCATATGCCTACGTCAATCCTTATGACAATCCTGAGGTTAGAGAGAAAAGGGATTGTTAGTAATGTTCACTAATGAACTCTTTGCTAATAATGACCTTCCCTGGTTGCCACTGGAAACTATTTCAAATTCCTGGTGAATTTGCGACGATGAGCTAATTGACCTGATCTCATCTTATTATCTTCCACTAGTGGCCCGCCAGCGTAAAACGTTAGCGCAGGCAGGTGTACATTTATTAACTATTAAAAAAATATCCTTAGCTTTTATTTTTATTTTTCATGTAGGTGTGATACCTGGTATTTCTGCACAAAAATTTAATTATTTTATTCTCGTTACTTCATTTAATTTTCATGTAATATTCCTTATCTGTACTAGTATCAACAGAATAGCGTCTCTGGTGATGTTGATAAATAAGTAGGTGTAGAAATTTCCTGATTCCGGAGTCCTGATTACTTTTTACATTATTTTTTTCAAACAAAATATATATTATAGGTAAGTTTAAAACTTTCTTTCACAAACTATGTAAACATACTAAATAACTAAACTAATAACTCATTTTATTCGTAATTTAAGTGCTACGCTCTTATCGGTGGAGCTTTGCCACTTTCCTTTAAATGTCACTGCCTCTTTAAATGTCGACCAAAAATTTTAAACGTTAAAACTAATAACTAAACATTTCTAAAAAAAGGACTTATTCCTTCATAAAATGCCGGCAACAAATCTGCAATTCCCCTGATGTTGCAGGTGCTCACGAGCGGCAGTAATCACTTACAATCAGGTGTGCCACAAGCTCGTTTGCTCCCTATGCTATAAAAAACGATATATTTTTCTTCAAAAGCACTGAGACGACAATTAGTGGTAAGGGCACTGACCTCAGTATTTGACGTAAAACGAACAAATCTCGTGGGTTTCAAAACTTTTTCGATCACTAATGGTTATGATTTTCAAATTAGTAATAGGGTAGGTATTTCTATAACTTCAAGACTGTCAACTGTAAGGTGTTATTTACGAATAAAGTAATAAATAGGTACATGATACATATACCAACTTGCTGTTCCACTCCGACATTGTTAGGGTGCTTGCTCTAACTTTATGTATGTCGAATAATGTGCAGCTCTCGGGTATAATGTCCTTTCAAATAGATGCAGTTGGGGGTGGGGGGGAAGGAGGGGAGAGAGAATTGTTAGTACTGTGGATTGATGACCCCATTGTTAGCAATATCAGGTTGAAGCGGTTCCCCCTGGAATATTCCAAGTATTTAGCTGTTCCTCATAGTGATAAATTCTTGGCGAATTTGTCACGATGGGCTAACTAACCTGACCTCGTGCTCATCTTATCATCCATCACCCTCCACTGGTGCCCCGCCAGCGTAAACCGTTAATGCACCATGCCATTATCATCCATACAAAAAAATAGATGCAGTGCTTCCGCAGTTCAGTAGTAACAAAGTCCTTAACTCCTTTTTACGATGTTAATATATATCATCAGTTATATAATTGCCACGTACCATTAAAAAAAATTCTAAGAAAAATAGGTATACCTAATTTCTATGTCTGTTGTTGTGTCTAGTGTTGCAATCACAGATATGTCGAGAATTAACAATGCCTTTCCGGGACAACAGTCTGTTTAAATTGCTATGTACTAACTATAGTCCTGAATACTAGTACAAGTATATAACTCATATAGTTTGAATAATAATGCAAGAGACGTAAAAAAAATAATTATCGTCTCTTGATAAGTATGTATTTAAAATATACAAGATAATATTTTTTATAGAATTATTGAAATGTAGCACTATCTAATCTAAATCGGCGTTTTATCCGATTCGCTGATTCATTACAAGGTGTCATTAATGTCGATAATGAGTTACACTGGATTTTTATTATTTTGTACCTATACAGTGAGAACGTGATATTTGTGATGGTGAAATAAAACAGTTCGGAGTGAATTATATTGTTATCCGTATTGGAATAATTTGTGTATGTCTGTGAAAGCTCAAAGTAGTGATGTTACAGGATACAATTAAGTGAAACAGGTAAAACTGTACAATGCAATCATATAGATTAAACTATATTGCGACAATGTAATTCTGCAATACGAAATCTGTCACTTCAATTTAATAAATTTAATGATATTAAAGCAAAAATCCTACCAAATATTCGAACCATTTCATTCGCAGAGTACTAAAACTTTCAATGTGATTATGTATATAAGAGGCATGACATCTTAGTCCTCCGTAATTAGAACACATCAGTAGTATCACGGGATTCACATGATAATGTGATGTCCGCGTTGCTGTTCATGTATATAGGACACGGTTATCGCTTAGTTAAGTTTGTTTATCATCCCAATAAGTAAAGAAATAATTATAATTAATAGGTACTATGAATTTAATAATATATAACTTTATTTACCTATAGTGACGCATAAGGAAAAGATGCATACCTACCATGCCGATGACTATTTATCTTTGTATGTAATTAAAAATAAGAATAATCCAGGGCATATACAACAGCGAACAAATCAGGACTTGTACTTTAGATTATAGAAATACTTAAATACATAGATGACGCCTAAGCCAATAGAAAAAAGCACACGCATTAATACAAATGTTATCGGCAGAAATGGAACTAACAAAACTACACAATACTTGTATGGACGTATTGTTGTTTTTATTCGTTTTATAGCCCTTGCGTTCTATTCCTGTCGATTAACAACGCATTGCTGCAATACAAATATAGGATATGCCCTTTACCTAATTATATACCATTAAAAGTAGTCTCAATTAATTCGTCTGTTCGTAACATTCAGCGTTTGAAACTGAAGTGTCCCTTACATTTGAATTCTTTTGAAATGCTAAGAGTTATTTATAAAAAAAGCAATGAATATCTACATGAGCGTATTGCTTCGGTTTAATTAATGAAATCATTTACATAAAGATTCAATTAATGAAAACCTTTGGTTACAGAATCGCGTTGACCCAACGCAATTCTGTACATTGACTATTTATTTTTATAAACGACGCAGACTGTAAAATGTTAGTCCTCTGAAATGCATGAGTGGTATCACGTTATCACATGATAACGTGATGTCCGTGTTGCTGGTCATCTATATGATTGACTCTTACCAGTTATTAGGGTACTTGTCAGGTGGGCCGTCAGTTTGTTACTCTAAAAATACTACTACTGTTACTAATTAACGGCCCGAAATGTCTATTTTAATTTATCTCTGAATAAAATAGCTAACAACAGCTAGTATTCTACAGGTAAAATAATTATTCAAATCAGTTAAGTATTTTTAGTTTGACTGTTACAAATCCTTCCTCATAAACATATGGTTTGTTGTGCATACCATAATTAATATGATTTGCTATTGTTTCTACATAAAATAAAAAACAATTCGATTATACTGTAATGAATAATGAATCAGTGGACCTAAATTACCTACAATACATTATAATTAACAGGTTTCCGTATGAAGCCATAAATTTATGGATTTATTCATTAATTTATTTGCTAAGAGAGAGTGGCGCAGTACTTTAATACACAAGAGTATAATTGTTTGTACTGGTTTGGGTATTTTCTATGTATATTGTATATATATTTACAAAAGAAATATTTTTGTATTAGCTAATTCCCATAAAGCAAGTTCTGTTCAGAGCGCCATCTAGTCCCACTAGATGGCGCTCTGTGAATTTATAGATACATTATTTTATCTCATAAATACACGCCTTCGCGCCGATTAATTTTGATTCTATCATTCATTCAGTCATAATTTAAGAGCTGTACTCTTGTCGGTGGAGGTGGATTCCATCATAAGGGAACAGAAATATAAATTGACAGTTTTTAGTGTCAGCCCGACCGAAACCACAACCCTGGTGTCAAAGTAAGGATATTACTACTACTAGTCGACTATCCTCAAGCACATAGACAAATTGATACAAACACAGTGACTATGTTTTTTTTTTTATTGGGTTGTTTGGGCTATTGTCAGATGTGTAGCACCTGTAGCACTGCGACCTACATAGATCTATTGTGCTCGCCCTTTTCAGAGTTCGCTACCTAGACCCGTCAGGGACAAGAATTGAAGGATATTCTTAGGAGCGATCGTTTTTATCTCCTCGGGAAAGAGTGTAAACTTTCCAAAGGAGATATTTCGTTTATGCATGAGTGGGCTACAACCACATAGGATGTGAAGCGGCGTTTCCTCTTCAGTTTGGCAGAATCTGCAGATACTTGTCGTGCATAGGCCTAGCTTAGCCATATGCTTGTTCAATTTGCAGTGTCCTGTGAGGGCCCTAGTCATCATGCATATGTTGTTTTTACTCAATTGCAGTAATCTATTGGAGTATTTGGTCGAGAAGCCCGATATAAGGTCTTAATCCTTGAATGTATTAATCCTGGCATTTCTTGCCAGTGATTGAGTGCTTCTCGTTTGGTTATTAATTTGAGATGTCCCAGTTTTAGGCAACGAGGCACACCACAGAAGGGTTCGGGGCCCAGTTGGACGGTTTTTGCCCCTAACTTTGCCAGATGGTCGGCATTCTCATTGCCTTCAATATTTGAATGCCCGGGGACCCATCTCAGTATAATATTATTTCTGCTTCCTACTTCATTTAGTAGCAGGATACAGTTTCTAATAAGTTTAGAACGGATTTCGTACGAGTTAAGTGCTAGTAGAGCAGCTTGACTGTCCGAATAAATGTATATGTTCTGATTGATGTAGTTGAGGCTTAGGATTACTTCCAGACATCTAATTAAGGCGTAAGTCTCTGCCTGAAAGATTGAGGCGTATTTTCCTAAGCCTATATAGTTGCAGATTTTGGGTTTTACACCACATATTCCACATCCTACATCATCTCCTATTTTGGACCCGTCTGTAAACCAGACTAGGTCATGCTCTGAGTGAGACGGTGTATGGTTATTTTGCCATTCGTCTCTTCCAGATATTTCGATTTTGTAATATTGTACAAAGTTACACTCTGGTGCCATGTTGTCTTCAGGCATTCCCAGAATAGGATCACTCATAATCGAGTCTTGTATAGTTTTTATGGCCAGGGAATGCCAAGATATCCTCCTTTGGGAACTTATTCTGAGCATATTAGCTTTCGCTTTTTCCTGTATGAATAGAGGAAGGGGCGTCAAGTCCAATAATGCGTCTAGAGCTGCTCCCGGCGTGGTGCTCATGGCTCCTGTAATAATCAGACAAGCAATTCTCTGTAGGCTGTTTAGCTTGGTGGCAGCTGTGGATTGGAGGGTTTTCCTCCACCAGATTGCGCAGGCATAGGTGGTAAGCGGTCTCACCACTGCTGTGTAAAGCCATAGGGCAATTTTGGGGTTGATTCCCCATCTGGGCCCCGCTACCCGTCGGCTTATACCTAGGGATGTTATGTGACTATGTTAGTCTTAAGACTAAAAGGCTTTTTATATAATTGAATTAAATCATTCATTTTGGATATACATCTTTGTTTCAGATAGTTACGACTTTATACATATTTAATATATTCGTGTGACTTCAAACGTAACTTCACAATGATACCGTATGCAGATGGGAAGAAGGATGATAACTCGAACCTTCATGATTACTATGTTCATGAATATGAAAAAGTTGCCAAAAGTAAGTAGAAACCTGTTCCTAATACTTACTAATATTATAAATTCAAAACTAACGTTGTCTGTCTGTCTCGCTTTCACGCCATAACTTCTGAACCAATTTAAATTAAATTTGGTACACAAATCGTCTAGACCCTGATAAAGGACATAGGCTACTTTTCAATGCGAAAAATGGTTGTAAGGGGTTGTATGGAAGTATCGCCATTTTTAAAGCTAGAAGCTTGAAACTTATCTTTTAGGCTGTTGATTAAGTATCATTACATAGTACAAAATAAAGTCTCTGTCGCTGTCTGTCCTTATGTATGCTTAAAATTACGCAACGGATTTTGAGCGGTTTTTTTCTAAATAGATAAAGTGTTTCAAAAGGAAGATTTATATATATATATATATATATATATATATATATAATTCATGTACACCCGCGCGAAGCCGGAATAAATATGACATTCAATGTTTGTAAAAATGTTACCATTAGATTATTGAATATTTTTATTTCTTTAGTCAAGGCACATCTAGTTCAGAATTTATTATAATAATGTTGCAGTCTGAAAAGAGTGTAACCAGTTATAAACGTACATAAATATATACGTATGGACATATATGAAAGTCGTTAGGCTATTGTTTCTGCCTTATTCGAGAAGAAACTAGTGAAAATTTGTTTATGTAATTTGAATGGGCGAGCCCTCTTGATCGTAAGTAGTAATAGTCGCCTATATACATGAACAGATACCACTTATACATAAAATATCATGCTTCCATATCCTGTAATTTCACTGCCTTATCTCCCCTTTAATCGAATCACATCTTATAAAGCAAGCCGTTTGGCGACTGAAATAGGTGAGACTGACTTACTTATGCAGACGAGTTTGCATAAAGTTACGTAGGTAAAAGATAGACATAAAATACTTATATAGCAGAATGGACAATATCCTTCTTTTTAAACTAAATACTATAGAATTAAATATTATATTTTTCTGGAATTGGAATGACAAACAAGCAAACGAACTAATGGAAAATAGCACCCATTAACTAAATACAATATAAATTCTATGTTATATTGTAACTTTCTGAGTCTTAGAGGTCATATCAATTAATAAGTAATTAGTATCTTGTTTATTCATCAGCAAAATTATGGCATTTACAATTAAATTTTGTATTACTTATATATCGTGTAACTTTTATTTTTCAGAAGTCAAATGGTACAACGCAATATTCCTTAACAGGCCATTACGAGTGGCCGTCGGGTTACTCTTCTTAGCAATTTTAATTCCAGTTCTACTGTATCAGTATATATTTGTGACGGCGGATAGACCCCCAACAGACGGGTTCTCTTCAGGATCCTGCGTCCTCCAATTAAGTGCAAGGCTTTTATGTGGTTTAGGAAACGTGTCAATAGAGGAATGTCACTCGCAATGTTGTTACGATCCAACTCACAACGTGTGCTACCATAGATATCCATCTAGATTCTCATATATCTTTCATCAAAATTGGGCTGAAGATGTTGTTCTAATGCCTAGAATTCCCACAGTACCTTTCAAATTACAAGAGAGCCTTAAAACTATAAAATTGTCAGTAGACGAAATATCGCAAACACACATGTCACTAACATTTTACGATTCGACGAGAATGTCCCTAGACGGGCAAAGACTAGAAAATAAAACGTACACTTACGAAGTGTTGCCTGCAGAATTAGATATATCCATAAATGGCCCACAGGGAAGGTTATTTAGTACATTGAGAGGTCCTCTAATTGCGTCAGATAACATTTGGGAAATAGCTTTTAGGGTAACAAATGAATCAATTTATGGACTCGGTGAGGTACCTCTTAGAGAGGGAACAGTCAAAATTATTTACAATCACGATGGAGGTTTGAATACTGTACCTTTAATCTATGCGAAATTGAATAGCTCGTACCATGGCATAATGGTGGAGGCTAAGGGGCCAACTGAAATATCAATACATGGAGAGAACAATATTGTTGTTAGAAGTATTACGAACGACGGTCTGAAATTACACGTATTTGTAGGACCAAAGCCTTCAGATGTAATGAAAGATGTAAGAGGTTTAATTGGTTCTTATGATAAATTGGAATATTGGATGCTTGGCGCTCATATTTGCAAGTAAGTGTACCTTTGAGAAATTTAGTATTTGTAATTCTTGGTAACTATAATTTTTATTGGTGCTTAGAATTAGTATTGTATTTTCAGAATAAAAAAAATAATAAACATCAATCAAAATTCTTTATAAAATTTTACTTATGTCATCTCATTTAGTATTTATTTATGGTATGTATTGCAATGAAAATGAAGATAAAATACTTTACGCTAATATAAGGATAAATTTTGTATTAAAATACATACAAAGTTTACTATAATAATAAAAAAACGATAATAAACAAATTACTTTCGTTGCTAATATGATAAAAGCTCTATTATTTAAGTTTTCACAGCTAAATGATTTTAGCGCAGCCTCAATTCAAGTTTTGTTAAAAGTACATTCAAATAATTTTTGAATTGATTTATTTGCTGTGACTTTCACATTTATATATGTATATATATGTTTGCTATAACGAGATGAAATAAAAATATTGAAAAAGTATATTTGTAAATTTACAGTTGAATATTCGAATCTTTTTTAATTTGAGATTCAATGTTTCTAAAAAAATGTATGTAACAATATATACGTATGTTTGTTGATCGATTCAAGTGATATAGTTGTTATCGTGTACCATTATTAAATGAAGTTTACCATATTCAATATTAGAAAGTTTTCCCATATTAACTGTGTATGTATTATAAATTAGAAATCTTTTTTTTTTTTAGTGACATGAATGAAACAACAGAAGAAGCTTACAATGATCTGAATGAATTTATTTCATTAGCTAATGAAAAGAAAATTCCATATGAGAGTCACTGTGGCATTGCCCCTATAGTTTTTAAAAACGAAGTATGCTTAGACTCTGGTTTATATTTCGATAATGGCGGAGAATTAATAAAAAATGCAAATAAAAAATTAGTTGGACATGTTTCGCCACATGTAAGTATACTACATCTATAATATTAATAACATAACTGTGGACAATACACACAGCGCCATCTATTCCTAAGCCAAGCATAGCTTGTGTTATGGGAACTAGACGACTGATATATATTTTTTTGTAAATACATGTGTAAATCTGTAAATACCTAATATAGAGCACACCCAGACCGACACAAACAATAATACTAATGGAATTAAATGTTTGCACCGTGTGAGGAATCGAATCCGCGGCCATCAGAAGTAAAGCGGTGAGTGCTAAACCACTAGACCATCGAGGCCGTCATACAAATATATGCCAAATTTAAACGGTCTTAGCAATTTAAACAAAGTTTTAATAATCATAAATTCCAATGATTAGTAATCCTAATTAAAATAAGGCTAATTTAAAATTTATAACATCAAAGGAAATATTTAATCCTATAAATACACCATCGAAACATTCGAAAACTTTTTATGTACTTAATTGGAATGGTAATCAAACTTATGACTGACCTGATGGTAACTTTTACCTATACACTATACACAAGAACAGCACCTCGGACATCACATTATCATGTTACAGCCGTGGTCTTATCTCTTAGTCCGATGACTATTGTCATGGCTCTTTATCCTGTAATTTCAAGTTGACAGACCATCTGACGGGAAACCACTTTTGTACGCGATATGAGGGTGGCGCTTGGAAAAATCGCCGTTCAAAGATATTTGTTTAGTAGCGGTACTGGTAAAAAATCAGAGCTTCTTTTCGTAAACTATTCTAAAAATTATTGTATTTTATTATATATGTATTATGTAATTCTTATTTTTCAAAAAGCATAATGCATAGCTTAGTGAGTATATTAGAGAGAAATATTCTAAATAAAAACAAAATAAATTTTTTTTATATATGATATCTAATGGAATGGTGCACCCGCCTGCGCTAACTGTTTACGCTGGCGGGGCACCAATGCAGGATAAGATGAATATAATGTCAGGTCAATCAGTCCATCATGACAAATTCACCTGGAATTTATCATGATGGTTTCCAGAGAAAACCTGGAGGTCAACCCGACAGGTACATTACTAGCGAGTGACAACAGTCCACATTACTAAGCATCCTCTTTCCCTAATAATAATGTTAGGATAACCATAAATTATAAAATAATTAACAACAAAATTAAATACTTTTCTACAAATGAGATCTCGGAAAAAAAATCATAACTAAGTGAATTATTGGGCATTGAACCAATAAAACTAATATCGTCACGGACGGGTCTTGCTATAGAATTGTTTTTCTTAGTTCAGATAAATATGTTCTGATTACGAAAAAAAAATATCTTTGATGAAACAATAGTGAAATAACCGTCAATTGACGCAAATAAACATAATCAGTTTACTTTAATGATGTGCCACGCAAGATATTTTACTATTCAATAAATAAGTTATTACGCGCTCATTCTATTTAAAGTGTAAAACCTATGTGTAATAAAATATCTTGCGTGCTTGATAGCAGGCTAGGTATGACGTATTAATGTTTATATTTTATATAGGATCTATTACTAGAGGTCAAATAGGTACTTGAAAATATTTCCCAATTATAAAATTTGATCTTTTACGGTTTATACAAAAATAAGAGGTTTTTTCTTACTTGACTTATTTGACATCCTCGCTGGTCTAACGGTTTAACACACCGCATAACTTCCGATGGTTTGATTCTTCTAACATTGAATACAAATGTTTGTTGTTGAATATGATTGTTTGTATTAGTCTGGTTGTTATCTATGTATATTATGTATATACATACATAATATAGGATACTTAAATATATTTTATTTTCTAAATACTAGAAAATAAAATTTATTTAAGTATCCTATCAGTTGCCTAGTACCTATAACACGAGCTCTGTTTAGTCCAGTATTATTGACATTTTTACATATGTACATATATAAATTACGATGTACGTTGCGGTGTTACATGCGTACGACAGTAATAAAATACGAGGTAGAGTTTGTAATAAGTCTCAAAATAATTCTCTATTTTGTTTATATCGACTGCAACATTTAACAAGTCGAACTAATATAAAAAAATAACGATTAGTCACTTGCCAAAGAGGTTACTAGATGCGAGAAAAATTATAGATTTTAAACAGCGCCTTAAATAACCATTTTTATCTATAATATATAAAGATGCGGCATCTATATATAAAAGTAAAATGGTCAATTCAATTTTATTTTTTGTGTACAGGTATATTATCCGATATGTTAGCTAAATCTAAATTAATATTGATGATTCTTCTTACAATCGATAATGTCTCTTGTTAGGTCCACAGTAATTTCGTCATGGTTCAAGATTTTTTTTAAGCAAAATATACTTGTATCAGAATATTACCCAGGATGTAATATATAAATAATACAAACACAGTCTATATGTCATTTAATTTATTTCAGATAATATACGGAATACATAATAACACAGATGTGGAAGACACTAAGAGTAGCGTATCATCAAACGAAAGTTGCATAGATATTGCTCAACATTTTCATGAATTTATGATACGCAAACCGAATTCAGTAGATATTTACAAAGGTATAATAGGAAATTATGATGTTTTATATCCTGACTACGAAAATATAACGGAGGAATTTTTACAAAGCATATGGGCATACAACGTTGCATTAGATGGAGTAATCATAGAAAATATTTGGCCCCTGGATGAATCTGTGAAAGACCATGAATTAATAAATTCGTCTTTACCGTACTTTAATAAGGTTAGCATAGCAAGTTAGTGTATTAAATTAGCATAACTTATAAGCAAAATAATACAACAAAACAATTAATGATGCACTAAATTATTTCAGAACTTCGAAACTGCATTTAATGAGACGCCGCAATGGAACGCTACACGTCCTAATGGAGAAATATATTTTTATAATCACAACGATTATGCAAATAATTTTATAAGTGCTGTTAATTTTGGATCCGACAATATACCGGCATGGGCTTCCGATCAATTGATGAAAGGAGATGTAATGATAAATAGGCAAAATATTATAACTTCATGGACTAACCTTCGCAAAGAACTGGTTGACATTGCTTTGGGCGGTATATCAGGCCATTGGCTTTGGTCATCGCCGATTTGTGGAGATACTGATAATTATAATAGCACTACTCAAATTGAACTTTGCATTAAATGGTATATGGCTGCCACATATATGCCGATGGTCAAGATTCATTCGAAGTCAATACCGAGACATCCTTTAGCCTTTCAGGGTATTGACAGAGCACTTGTGATTAATGCACTGAATCACAGGTTAAGTTTGTTACCATATTTCTATACTGTATTGCAAGAAGGACCTCTTCTTAGACCAATGTTTTATCAGTTCCCTGCCTCTGATAGCTTGAAAGATTTGACCTCACAATTTAGTGTTGGAGATAGCCTGTTAATAGTTCCAAATTTGACACCAAGTCAAAGTCACGTCCACGTATGGCTTCCCCCTGGAAGTTGGTTTGAAATTTGGAGTGGATTTAAGCTAGAAGGCGAAGAAGGTGATGTTGTAACAATGACGACAACTACCTCTGATTTTTTGACGCTAATTCGCGGAGGTTCAATTATGGTTATGCAGAAGGTAAATACTTTATCAAATACTGATATATCTAATATTAAGCAATGCCCCATATCTTAGCAATGATAACAAAAATTGATATTTTTAAAATTGATTGGGTCAAGATTTTTGTTAATTATGACTCGAATATTGATTCTCACATAAAAGTACGATTATTGTTAAATTCACAATCCAAAAATAAGTTTACTGTTCTTATGTATTGAGACACATGTAAATTATCATAGCTATTCTTTTAGTTTTTGTTTAATTTAAATATAATGATTTATGTTACTTAATAAAATTCCATATTACCATTTTCTATTTGTTGTTACAGGAAGTTAAAGAAACTGCCGATCAAACACGTTTGCTATCAAGTTTTTCATTAATTGTCGCTATTGACTGCCAGTACGAGAACGTCACCGATGTATTCAGTAATACCACTGAACAAGAAGTGTGCGAAGCAACAGGCAATATCTATATGACAAATAATATAGCGCTGAAATTCGAATCAAATACACAACATCTAATTATATCAAGCGTCGGTGATGATTACGATGTCTTCTGTGATACAGACAATGCTTTATGGTCGCATACGATTAAAGAAATTTACGTTTATGGATTAGAAGACAGCTACAATAATTATGATCATCACAGACATATAGAAACTACGGTAGATTTGTGTGCACTTCAGTACAGTGAAAATATATTAATAAGTATAACATAAAATTAATATTTAATAACCATTTTAAATTAGAACTTTCGGCAACTGGTAAATCGTGTTTCAATAATAGCTTATATGTATACAGTATGGTATAATAATAATATATATTACTCTTGACCTTTTGTAAGTTAATGTGTTACATACATAATATATGTAAGTATATAGTTAGATTGTTATCAGAAGGCTTTTAATTGTTCAATGTAAAGTCCTTTATTCTTGTTAATTGTATTTACGTTACTTATGTATATTAATTACAATAATTATTTTTAAAAAGTACCAGATTCTATTAGGTACTGTAAATGATCTAAACATAATTTAAAAAATAAAGATTATGATAAATTATAATTGCTTGGTTATTTGTATATGTATCGATTCCTTTGGATCTTTGGTGCAACGAGTACACTAGGTAAGGTATATTTTAGTGACAGATGTATCGAAAAAAAAGTATAAATTGCTGTAAATAATACTATAAACTATACAATAAATGTAAAATAAATATGGCAAACAGTAGCAACAGTATAAAATTAAAACAGTAACTAAATACAGATGGGATGACAAAAATAACTCTCTGCCATAAGCCCGCCGTTGTACTCGTTCAAGGTACCTATCTATGTATTTTATCTTAATTGTACAATAAATTGTAAAAAACAAAGAATGTAAAGTGGCGAAAATTATCAGGTTTTTTTCCATTCCTGCGTCTATTTATTTTGGAATAAACACCACCCGTGGACACCACACGCGTAGCTCTGAATATGACAATAATATGTTAATGTGTTAGTTAACTGTTATGTTATTATTGTAAACGATACATCACATATTACATCATAATGAACTGATAACATCCTACTTGTTTACAATGAATAAATGATTATTTATACCAATCTTAATGTCAGTCTTTATATAAAAAGTAGTAACGGTTTCTTATATATATTGACTGGCACAGTTACTCATACATTATTATCAGTAGATTATCAAATTAATAATGAAAAATTACCGCAATGACAAATCTATTTTAGTTGCTTAGTTGAACACAAAGAAAGAGTGTGTTCCTTATAAAGGTTTTATATATTCTTCAAGTATAATACGTAAGTCTCACAATGTTCTCCTTTGGTGTCCATAACACTAATGTAAATCTAAGCAACGGTTACCATTTTCAGGTAAATCATAATCTTGTATTCGGTCGCTAAAAAAATACACCATATGAATAAAGTAATATGATAAATATTGTCATAATAGCGGGGGACATTGATTACATTTGCTCTGACCTGACCTTATCATGAACTCAGATAAATTTGCTTAAAGCAAAGTCAGTCATCAGATGGCCGTAGCGGAGTTGTATACAGTCCCCTGATGAAGTCGGAAGAATTCAAAGAAGAGCACGAGAAATCTAATAAAAGAAATTTCGTCCACCCCAGCCCAAGAATGCCGAACATAAAAGTATTTACTGGCTCTTCGCATCCTGATATCGCACAAAAAATATCTTCTAGACTTGGACTTAATTTAGGAAAGGCGATTACAAAGAAATTTAGCAACAAAGAAACAAATGTGGAAATTGGAGAATCTGTAAGAGGCGAAGATGTTTATATTGTTCAAAGTGGATCTGGCGAGATCAATGATAATCTTATGGAACTATTCATTATGATCAACGCCTGCAAAATTGCATCGGCTTCAAGAGTTACTGCGGTCGTGCCTAGCTTCCCTTATTCGAGACAAGATAAGAAAGAAAAAAGTCGAGCACCGATAACAGCTAAATTATTGGCTAACCTCATATCTGTCGCTGGTGCCGACCATGTCATTACTATGGATTTGCATTCTTCACAAATACAAGGATTTTTCAATATTCCTGTAGATAATCTTTACGCTGAACCAGCTATTACAAAATGGATCAAAGAAAATATACCCGAATGGAATACCAGCGTAATGGTGTCCCCTGATGCAGGTGGAGCGAAAAGGATGACTGCTATAGCTGATAGACTTGACATTGATTTTGCGATAATACACAAAGAAAGACAGAGAGCTAACGAAGGTGATTCTACCGTTCTTGTTGGAGACGTGAAGAACAGAACAGCTATCATGGTGGATGACTTAGCAGATACTTGTGACACAATAGTTAAGGCTGCAGACAAATTACGTGAAGCTGGAGCGAATAAAATTTATGCGATTTTAACTCATGGTGTGTTTGCTGGTGATGCTATTGAGAAGATAAATTCGTCTTGCTTGGAAGCTATTGTAGTTACGAATACTATACCTCAGGAGAGACATATGAAACTATGTCCTAAACTCCAAACTATAGACATATCAGTGATGCTGGCTGAGGCAATAAGACGTACTCATTATGCCGAATCCGTTTCTTATTTATATACTACTGTTCCCTATTAATATATTATTTAATCAATAATTAAGTTTTCTATTAATATCGTCAAAATAAATTTTAATACTTGACTTATTAAGCATTTTATTTCAATATATATTTGATTTAGATTTAATAAATATCTAACAAACATAATATAAGTCTTCATTGAAATAAAAAATAGACAAATAAAAAACTGACCCACATAATAAAATTTGTGGAGGTTGTTTTAAATATTAAATCTATCGACATTTTTTAATATATTTGTGAAACATAAATTTTCCAAGATTTTTAGCTTCGAGGATTGTTACGCAAATGTTTTCGTTACCTAGTACGTAACAAGTTCAATGACCTGACACAATATCATAACATAAACGTATATTATTACATTACACATATCGATACACTATATTGGTATTTAATACATACCTATGGCATTGTATGTCTTCACTTGATAATTGTATTGGCTTTATTTAACCATATCTGATATCTCATCTGCCATATACTAATATTATAGAGGTAACGTTTGTGAGTTTTGATGTTTGGTGCAACCTCCACTTTTGAAAATTTTGTTTAGTCCTGGAATACTCCTTTATGGAGGAATGGCTACAATAGGAGCTGGACTACCGTGAAAATGTTGCAAAAACGCTGAAATTGAAGAGTACCTGAAGATGTGACCATTGCCTATCCTAAAGTACCTACAGGATTTTTCCTATTTAGGAAGCAGGGTTTTACCTTTATTTTAAAGATGAAATGTAACATTATATTGTAAATAATATAACATTCCATTAATAAATACATAAATAAATAAAAAAATAGTTACATTATGTGACCCTAATAAAGTGATCTAGTTTTCTTTAGAAACTATGGATCAGTAACTATTAGATAATTTACCCAGCAAACTTGTTTTATTATTAATTTCTTTTTATTCCTTTCCAATATATCGAATCTTTCATATTATCATTCCACTTGTATCTTCCGGTACATAATTTTATCATTAATATATAATATCATTAATAAGTTTTTTTATTTATTCGACGAAAAGTCATTAGCCTATCTCCCATGAGTCAACTCTATGTTCTTTACGTAGAATATCTTTAAGATAGTGCTGCCATCTGTATATTTATACTTGATATACATAGCAATGTTGTGTATATTACTTGTGGCGACAGTTTAGTGAAGAGGTATGTATACATACAAGTACAAAAGTACTCTGTGAACATGAAAAATAAGATAACAAATATCCAAGTCCAGCTGATTGCTTAGTAACAACAAATACTTTAATCAAACAGTACTTTGTATACTGGAAACTACAACGTCTGCAGTCGTGTAAAAGTTCGTTTTTGAAGTGAAATCACTTTTGATGTGATCGCAGATTTTAAGTATTTGGAAACTATAACAGTAAGTATTAAATATATAAATCAATATTACATACTACCTCTATATAACACCCACTGTTGTTTTTGTTATTGTAATTACTCAGTAAATGTAAGATTTTGTTTTTAATTTATAGGTTATGTTTATGTTTTAAAAATGTTTAAACTATTAACAAACTTTAAAATAAAGAGTCTAAATTCAACTATCTAATAATTTCATTTTGTAGGTATTTATGTTATATTAATAATTATTATTTTTAATTTTATTTATAAAATAACAATACATAATTATCTAACTAACAATCATTTACGTAAGTAGGTACCTACCTGATAAAATTGAAAAAAATACTTGTCTATCACAAATGCAAATAATGCGTATTCTCCGTTTATTTTTCTCTTATGTGGACCTTCAGGTTAAAATGGCAAATAAATTTAATTACAAAAAAATATAAGCCTCAAAAATATTTTACGAAACCCATCCCGCCGCAAAAGCAGAAAAATGTTATGTAAATATACGCAGAATCCTTTTGTAGAGTCTCGCCGTAGCCAGGTAAACATCGTGCTTATCTCCCTATTTTTAAGTAAGGTTGTTTGCAGTAGCCCTTTTGCTATAAATTATTAATCTAAAAAATTAAAAAGTAAAGATATTACTTAGTCACTGTCGCTCAAATGTGGAGAAGGAAGGGGTTGACAATGATGCTGACTATTGACCCCATTGCTAGTAATGTTCCATGTCAGGTCGACCTCCACGTGGTCTACCCTGCAAACCATCGTGGTTGCCTCCCCATGTTGAGCTAAGTGACTATCCTATGTAAGCCTATTCATTGATGCCCATTAGTGCCCCGCCAGCGCAGGCGAGGGCCTCATTCTATTATAAATAAATATGAGGTCACGCCAAAGCGTAATAATTTATAACATTCACGCTAGCAGCAAAAGTAATTTCTACAATTTTATAAAAGCTCTGGTCAAATTACGAACTGAAATTGCTGGAATACTACGAATATATTTTTTTACCTGAATTTCCAGAAATTCTCACAGGTAAACGATCTCAAACGATGCGAAGCTGCGAAAAATAGGCTAATTGTTAATAAATTTTAATTATAAAGTAAAGTTTTTAGGTCCATTGTATATAAAACGAAGAGGGCGTTGACATCGTTTTAGGTACACTTCGCAAACTGAAGTCAGACACTTCAGTGAATATCATTTTCATTATTATTGAAATGTGTTTCAGTTCCAGATATTTACTTAGGTAGGCATTTATTCACGCTTTGACTTAATAACTAGTATTCCGTACTTTGACTCCAATACAATAATTCTTCTAATAAATATTTTGATACTAAAGTATCAATAAATATTTTTCCTCGTGCTACATTTTACAAATTTATATTTTGTTTTCACGTTTTTTTGTTTTGTAGGTACTGTTAGTGTTATTGTTCATGTCTTCACAGTAATTTCGTGATAGCGTATTATATTGATTAATATTGAATATATAATGAACTCAATTTTCCGCATTTAGCCTCTCGTTTCGCCCATTGTGCGTGTAGAGCCGATACTACTAGAGTAGCCAGCCAAATTTCTCTCATAAACACATTCAGAGCTTCCCGGTGTCTGCAGGTTAGGCTTCACGGAGCGATCTCACTATTCCAAGAAAAGTGTAAGCGGTAGTGTATATTAAAAATTACATTATAGGAAAAGATTATATACAATTAAAAAGTGCTCTTTTTGATCTTCGTCAGAGGCACTCAGTAGCCTGTAGTTCGCTTAAAAAAGAGAGAATTGTGGGCGAAATCTTTGGATCACTACGTTTTTATTGATGTATTGATTTATGATACATCTTTTTACCTAAAAAACCTTTTTAAAAATTGACAATTTAATTAGGTACATAGATGTTGCAAACCTATTTGCAAAACTGTATGCAGAAAAGACAACAGTCATATTGTGTACCTACATTTATTAATATTATTTCAGACAAACTCATAATGAGCGGAGCGCTGTATATGACGGAGGCCAGCCCGCCCGCTAGATCTGTTCTAATGCTTTTAGATATACTTGGCATTAAAAATATGGAATTGAGGGAAATAAACCCTGTACTAAGAGAACAAGATTCGCCCGAATTAAAAAAGGTAAACGTAAAATCAAATACGTATTTTAGGTATTTCTATTAGATATAATATTACAAATCATTAATAATATAATATATTCATTATCTCTAAAAAATTATCTATGTTTAAATATATTCATTGTTTCATTTTATTTTCAGAAAAATCCAATGAGAACAGTGCCTATGTTGGACGAAGGTGACTTCAGTTTGGCTGATAGGTACATACATTAATTTTACTAAGTTATATTTGTATTATTAGAAATCTTCCAAAGGTATATATACAATTCATACTAATATTGTTACGAAATCATCTGTATTTCCGTCTGTGCTACCTTTTCTTGAACAAAACGGGATCCGGTTGACGAGAGTAATGAAATTTAGGGTGGAAATAAACTGGTATATAAATGGACAAACAAAGTGTCTTTCATTTTAAAAAAAGAAAAATTGCAGTTAACTGCCAGTAAATAACATATTGAAAAATTAACTGTCAAAAAGAACTAGAACCTAATTAATGTGTTTTTAAATAAATCTCGTACAAAAGTATTTTACATGTTATTGCAAATGACTGTAACTAATTAAAAAATTCAATTACAGCCATGCAATAGTACTATACCTCCTTGAAAAATATGGACGGCCTGAACACCAGCAACTTTACCCACCAGATGCAAGAGTGCGGGCCACCATCCATAACAGAATGTTCTTCGATTGTGGAATCTTGTTTCCAAGACTTAGAGCAATTATGGTAATTTCACGTCAGTATACTATATTATTTAGAAAACGAACTATATTTTATAACTAAACTTAATTAATCCTGACTGTGATGAATTAGATTGAAATAAACATAGCATCAACGGAAATCAATTCAAAATACGCTAGTGTAAGGCAAAAAGAATTATAAAAATCAATTAATAAACACAAAACGTTGATAGTCGAAAATGAAATTTAAAAACCTGTTTTTACTACTTTGTATAGGATTAGAACTGTTGTAATCACTATTTCACAAGCTTATATAGTCTTAAATTAAATGCATATAATAAAAATATTTAAGAAAATACAGCAGTGTTGCGTTCACTATGACGCAACAATCAACTGCTGACACTGTGGTCCATTCCTGGACATAGGCCTCTACCAAGGGACATCAATGGGCACAATCCTCAGACCTTCTCTTGCAGTTATTACCCGCAATCCTTCGTATGTCGTCGCTACACTACGTTTGCCAATTCGCGGTCTGTACTATAAAATACATTTTGTCCAGCGAGCAACAATTCTGCAAGTTTCTGAGATATGACCAGCCTACTGCCCATTCTCATCGCAGATACGAAGAGCTCTGTCGGTGACCTTAGTTCTCTATTTGATTCCTCACAAAAACTCCCAAGTATAACTCTTTAAATAACCAGAAACATTAATATTTATTTTCAGGCTCCCACATACGGGGGTAGATTAACACAAATGACAAAGTATATGATCATAAACATAGTAGATGCATATGAAATGTTAGAAATGTATTTAAACGAGAGCAAGTACATAGCAGCTGATCATATGACCATTGCTGATATAAGTGTGTTGACGACTGTCTCCTCATTGAACGGGTTACATGCAGTAGATGAAAATAGGTAAGCATCATTTATTTCTTTCTCTTCACAAACCCTTGACAGAGATAATTTAGGACCAGACTTCGAAGCTTACATAAATAAAGTCTTATCATAACTTGACACGTGAAACACAGCCGTTTCACATTCATAATTCTTTCCTAAATACATTCTTTTTAAATTTTGATAGATCAATTAAGTTCTTCGACATGTTTCGTAGATTTTTGATGCGATTATAAGTGAGTTTTATCTCGATTCTAAAAGATATGGTTATATTTCTGTTAAAAACATCGCTAGTTAAAACAAGATTCAGAATAGTTTATAGACCTAAAATCATGTATGAACGCTATGTGGCATAAATCATCTATCTATCCCAGAATAGATCCAGATCTATGCCTGGAACATGTTGATATAATTGAAATATGTTAGATGGCTGGTATAGTACTGTAGTTACGTGTCAAAAATGAGACGAATAATTCTCTTTTCTCTATTATTTTAGTACTAATCGTAAATTGATTACATAAATAGAAAACATCTATTAAATGTGCTTAACAGTATAAAAATATCTACATAATATTATGCATCTGCTTCTGTAAACGCCATCTATTGATGATATCAAACAATAACAATACATGAAGCTTATAATATTTTATTATTAAAATAGTAGGTGGCGTATTTAAAAATTAATATCCATTAATTGTTGCATCAGCTTGGGGAGTATTTCAGATTTCTTTAGCCTATACGTTAACCCATACTTAACACCATAAATTCTTTGAAAATTTATTTCTAATCCTCCAGTCGCTCATGATTTTATTATATGTACAGATAAAGATATAATCATTTGTAATAACAGGTTTCCTAGACTAAAACAATGGCTCACGACAATGAACGAGAAGGATTTCGCCAAGAAAATAAATGTACCCGGTTGCAAGTTGCACGTGGATGGTCTCATAATGCTTATGGAATTTAACATGAGCAACAAAGCCTCTAAATTATAACCAAGTTTGAAATACTGATAAGTAAAACATTTTTATTCGAGTATAGGATATAGGCTAGATTAAAGTTATATTTTTATATTAAAACTTGAATAAATTAAGGGAAAATAAAGTTAAATGTAATTAAATTGAACGTAATTTTGTACTTTTAATTGAAGTTGGGTAATTATGTATAAAATATAGCTTTATGCCTATGTAATTATTTCAGAAAATTAAATGCCATTCTTTATTTAAACTTACTTTTTATACGCATTGTTTGGCGGTTTCAATTACAAACCATGTTCCTATGTGAATTGTAACCAAAATTAATTTCTAGAAGATATATTATATCTATATGATTTACTATTTACAAGGTTAAGTATAAAAAAATCTCTTATACTTAAGAGGATTTCTATCCAATTTGCAATAACAAAATTACGGCAACGATGGAAAGTGACCGTGACCTAAAGACATAGAGATCATAGACAACAATGATAAGAATATAATAAATTTCATTATTTATTCATAATCAGATTTAAAATTCTATTGTTTTAAATAATGTTATTCTACGTGTTTGGAAGTATTCACATACGACATTTCCAAAAATGTAGAAAAAATAATGTAAATTATAGTAATTCAAATGGGTATAAGTAGAGCGTTCAAGAGTTGGTAAATGATAAATACATTTAATAAGAATCACAGGTTTTTCATTTATTTCATTAACTAAAAAGAAATGCAAAGAATTTTCCAACTTTACACTCCAGTAACGTCTAGGCTGGCTACCATATGGATAACTTTCAATGAGAAATTAATGATTACAAAAAACGTTACACATTTAAACATTTCCTATAAGTCTTATAAAGTCTCTCGACGCCCCCCACATAGCACTTAACATTTACATTACACATACAGTTCGACGCAGTCTCTCAGTCATACATAACGAGTAAACACAATCGGCACACGATTGAGTTGGAATAATTACGATTTGGCTGTCACTTGTCGGATTTTGTGGGTACTCGGGCGTTTTGCACGTTAGTCTTAAATGTAACGGCAGTGGAAGGGCCTGCATTAGCCGTCCTCTTTGGGCGGTGTGAACCAACCTGAAATAAACATATGGCAATCAGATTAAACATTTTTACGAGACAACATCTTTGTATAAGTTGTTTAATTTAAAAAATAAAGAATGTATAAACTGTGGATATTTGTTTTATTATGGTATATATTGTCAAGTAGTGTCAGGCACTCAATATAATAATAGAAGGCTTTATAAAAATAACTATAAAAGATTTTAATTTAACTGATTTGGAATGTAACGTAAGGTAATATTTTAAACTACCTCCACATTTTGAATCAATATGCTCAATAAACTGTTAATTCCGATTCACGAACAAGCAGATCAGAAGTGGTTAACAAATTGACGGCCCACCTGATGGTAAGTGGTAACCATCGCCTATATATACATGACCAGCACCACAGACATCATGTTATCACATGACACCCTCTTCGCTCATGCCTTGCCATTCCAAAGCACAAAGATGTCATTCATCCATGTCCTGTAATTACACTGCCTAAGTTCAAATTAGTAAGACAGACCCAGAAAAACAACTTTTTAAACTACCTATGTAAACTTTGTAATAAGTTATTGTGTAGTATTTAATAAGGAGGAAGAGTTTAAGAGAATATGACTATACTGTGTATATTTTTGAAAGTGTGTAAAGCACGGAGCAATCTTAGAGATCAGATTTTCACTCTTTATAACAGCTTAGCCGATAGAGGCCGAAGGTCCTTCAGGTCAATAAGTTATTGTTAGTATTTTATTTTTATACACCTACGGTACATTTTAATCTTTTAAACCTCTAATAGAGTTGAATTTGGTATACATATTTACCATTTTTCTCATGTATCTGCACGAGGCACTTGAAGCTCTGCTGTGCACGCGCTAGGCTGTACTGCGACTGTGAGACAACCTTCGTTGCACCAAATTGGATCCGAGCCTTGCCCTTTACGAGTGTCGCCGCGATTTGCATTATGACCGCCTCCACTGTGTACGCTGATGACCAGCCCTGCTTCGTGAGGAGTTCCATGCATATCGCGCCGCCTACTAATACGTAGCCTCCTGCAAAAGTCAAAAATTCAAACATCCATATAAATAAAAGAATTGCTGTATATATACAATTATTACTTCAAAGGGAAAGAATGTTAATACAAAAAACTTGAAATTCATAAGCGGCTAAAATGCCCTACATGAATAAATTATTTTTGATTTGATTTGAAAAACAATTACACCTATTTGTTTTTTTTTTACTTGATGTATTTGTAATTGTTAAAAAAAATTTTGAAGAAACACAGTGACAAATAAAATATATGGTATACAAAACAATATAAAAAAGTTTATTGGCCCCACACTAAGTCAATTTGGTTTATTTTTTAGTACACTTTGTGCTAAAATGGAGTTGGAAGTTAGTACAGAAGTTATGTGTTTAATGTGGCCACAAATGGTATAAAAACATGAGGAATAAACTGCTATATTAGTTTGTGCATGTATATATAACACATATAAATATAAAAAGGATAATGGAATACTTCAAATTGAAAAAAAAATTTAAAGACTTTCCATGTTTACCAATTTGCATATAAAAATACTGAAGCCCGACTGGAACAGACTTTAAAATGTACACATTTTATATTCCCTCACACAAAAGTACTTCAAATCATTGTAAAGTCAATATATTATTTAAATTGATTATGTTTTCAATTTATTAGCATTTTTAACACATTATTATGTATAAAACCATCCTTATGCACTTATCACCTACATATCACATATCGTATACACTACATATATAACCCAATTTAAATGTACACACAATACAGGTACAGTAAAACCAGGTCCCTCTTCTCCACTGGGTACACTGGTGACGTACCCAGGGCCCCGCGATTGATTGGGGCCCCTAGTCTTGTCTAGTCCCTACTCCATTACCAAACGATGACTACTATACTCTCGTCTTAACACATGCTTACCGACTATGGTCAATATGTTCGTTTTTGTTAATTTTTTTGTCTAGCAAGAACATGAATGAACCCATCATTCCATAACAACTTTTTAAAACTATTTTTGCCTGGTTTGTTTTGAAGGCATTCCCATATACATCTCTATAGAGTCATGATCAAAAATGACTTTGTCTATTTTTACAAGATAGTGCTTTATTACTATGGTCACCATTAGGGGCACCATTATTCTAATGTGCCCAGGTGCATCTAATAGGTGAAAGACTGCCCTGAGTACGACCTGCTTAAGGCGGGGGATACGTGCCAATAAGTTCCAGCTCTAAACGAAACAGCGTTAATCGGGGTCTTACTATATTATCAAAGAGTACTAGTACAGATATTCTGGACGTCTTTCTATTATGTAGCTTATATCTGCGCACAATTTCGGGGATTCTCCGGGTTGAAATAAAGGAGCGCTAAACCGAAACAGGGTTAAACAAGGTCAATGTTTTTTAATTATATGACTAAATCATACCTGATATAATAGGGTAGACAACTCGTACGAACGGTGGTTCGAACGGGTATGTCTCTTTAAACATAATGTTCAACAGGATTGAGTCTTTGCCCTCTTTTTCTTTGAGCAGTAACAGGTCATTGTGTAACGGACTGTCCGGATCCACTGAGCGTAGTCTGATATTCCATTCATAGAGTGAATCGTTTACTAATTCTGCAAGAAACAAATAGATTTTCACAATAATGTTCAGTTGAGAAAGTAGATTTAGCAACAAACTAGGAACAAATTCAATCATTATATTCTGTTAACATAATCTTCATCTATAAACACATTGATGGCTTCAAAAGTTTAGCACCGGCGCTTTACCTCTAAAGGACGCGGGTTCGACAAGCCTTTTATATTCAGGAGTATAAACATACAAGTTATATATACAAGGTCATGGTTTTTTCTATGTATATTCTCAAAAAATGTAAAAAAATCCTAGTAATTATAACACAATTCTGCTTGGTTTGTTACTGTTATTATTATGTACTAGCTACTCACCCCGGCTTTGCCCGGGTGTACATGTATTATATATATAAACCTTCCTCTAGAATCACTCTATCTATTAAAAAACCGCTTCAAAATCCGTTGAGAAGTTTTATAGATTTAAGCATACATAGGGACGGACAGACAGCGACCGCGACTTTGTTTTATACTATGTAATGATATATATAACCTTGTACAAGACTAAATTAAAATCTACCATGTCAGTCGTCGAAACAGATAAGGGTTATGCTTTTAGTATCCTACTAGCAATTTGTAAAAAGTCATCCAGTCAGATCTAATCACGCCATTCCTGTTATAATAACTGTTATTCAATATATGTTTTAGTTTGTCAAATATATGATTGTTTGATACTTATTTAGATAGATCTGTAGAAGAGAGTCTGTACAAGAGAGGTTATTTTTATATTACTACACAATGTTTTATTTATAAAGGGCAAAAAAAAAAACGAAAGACCATACACACCAATAGAGTACATGTTATTTTTGAAAGAGTGAGAGCGATATATATCCCTTAGCTCCTTCATAAGTCTGTCTGTTGCTTGTAGACTGCCAGATACACTGCCTGACAAGTAGTCTTGTCGTTGGTTTTGTCTCAGTCGTTCTAACGTTGCTAAGTGTTCTGTTTCCATGTCGTCCTGAAATTATAATTATTGATCTGTGATATTTACACTGAGAATGTAAGGGACCAATGATTTACTACCCTCAATTGAGCCCAAAAGGTCTTGTATTCAAATTAGGCCAACACCAAGGAAAAAAACTGAGTTACAATTTATATTTCGCTCTAAATCTCTAATGAAGGGGGAAGGGATTTATTAGTAATGTGGACGGTTGATCTATCTTATCATTTTTACTGATGTCCCGCCAGCGTAAACCACCACTTCTGGCAGGTGCACCATTCTATTATTACATATAAAAAAAGCCTAAGTAAACAATGACATCCAACCAAAAATTCATCCATAAAAAAGTAATAGGCTCGCAGCCTGTCATATTAATTCAACTATACCAAGCAAAATATGAGGATATCAAATGATGAATGATATCATACACCACAAAACGGACAATTCAAAAGGTCTCAGACTACCTCCATGAGGGACAACTGTCAGGATGGTAAGTATTTATATATGTATGGTATATATTTACACTCATTTTAATGAGTGCTGACTCAAACAAATTCAAAACTCTGCCACATTTGTAGTAAACATAAAGTATGATATGATCAACTCTCATGTATGTGATTTATCAAATCAAGTAATTGTCACTAGTATAACGACAGTTACTTGCAATAATGAGTAGTGAATTTGTGTGTGCATGACGAACCTACCCACCATTTAACCTACCCATTATTTTTATATAGAAAATATATATGTCTTTGTCATTCTTGTTCAACTAACTATTATACTTTTGTACATAATATTCTAAAATCCGTGTTTGTAAATTATATCTACCAGCCCCATATATATCTATATAACGTATGTGTGACGTTATACTATCTTTCTAAAGATAAAATATCTAGAAAACAGTGACTTAATTTTTTTATATGATGAGTTAATTATTTCTATACAAAAGAAATTAATGACATGAGGTATATGATGCATAATTTACTCAATAAAGGGAAGTCCCAAATTACAACTAATTCCTACTCATATTGATAACTTTCTGATACATTTTAGTTATAAAGCTCTTTCTAGAATTCTGGTAACCTTATTGCTGCGCGCAGCATCGTCAACCATCTCAAGCGGCAAATCATCCTCGCCTTCAGATTCGTCTTCTTCTGCAGCCATCTCCTCGTCTTCTTCAGTCCCTGATTCGGCGCCATTTGATGTCACACTTGGAATTCTGGAAATAATCATAATTCATTTCTAAACAGTATAAAACAATAGCCACCTGCATCTGTGTTTCTTATTATTTCTGAACAATTTAATTTGATACTGGTACAAGTTTTATACACTGTCAATTAAATATTATTTTATTATTTATAGATAGATATAAAAAACATTATAAGTGACTATAACAGCAAGACTAGAAACTACAATGATTTTATATAGATTGTACAAAAGATATATCATATATTCAAATTACATATCCTTTCTTACCTTTGCTGTGGAGCAGGATGGACGGGTAATGATAAAGAATCCAAATCTGGTGGCTCTGGTACACCATGTAACTTGCATAATTCTCTCAATAAAATACCAACCTAAAATCAGAAAAAATCATGTTTTTTATAACAGTTAATTAATTTAATAAATTAATTTGTATTCATCACATTATTTGCCATACTTTATTTACCATACTTTATTTATTAAGTTTAGAGTCCACTTAATTAATCTTGAAATTACAATTCATAAAACTGAACACAAATATTGTAAACTAATGTTCAATTTTACTATATAAATTTGATCAAGTATTGAATACCTAATGGTCATAAATCCACAACTAATCCACATTGATTACATTGCATATAAATTTATGATAAATGGTAATAATCATATATCCTTAAAATTGTCTGAATGCACTTATATCAGCTTATTTTTATAGGTGATTATTAACTTTACCATTTTCTAAAACATTTCAAATCCATTTTTTATTAGGAATAATGATTTCTTTCTAATAAATAATAGTAATAAAGTTTCCATTTGACATAATGCAGTATTTTTATCGACAAAAAAAACCAAGCAACCTTTTGGAATTAATATTATAAAAATTAAGTCAAATAGTGATCAATCAATTTTTTACCTGATTTATAACATGATTATCTCTCCCTTGTGTATTTGTAAGGATCTGGACTGCATTTGTCACAATGGGATCCTCACCTTCAGCAAACCACACTGGCGGTGTGTTGGGGTATGTCTCCTGTGATTGAAAAATATATAATAATTGCATCAGTGAGTATACACTGCAAGCTGCAATAACATTGAATTCACATGTTTATTTTTAACCATAGCAAGGCTGTTTCTGAATGATTTACAGTTACACATAATGCTAGTACATACTAGGTGTCAATAAATTACTGTGGTCAACCAGTTTAGCATACCACTTCACTTACGATGGTTGCAGGCTCAATTCCTCACACAATGCAAACATTTGCATTGTTGAGAATATTATACAGCATTGTTTGTATCAGTCTGGGTGTATTATGTATTTATATAAGTTATCTAGTACCCATAGCATGAGACTAGATGGTGTTGACTATATTTGATTACATTATACATATATTTTCTATGTTCTACTCAGCACTAACAGACTGGTGATATTTATTATTGTAGCACTTCAATAAAACTAAAAACATTAAATCCTATAATATTAAAGACAACATTATTATGGCCACACATTGCTTTATACAGATGAAGTCAACTGATAAGAAATGTTTCTATAGAATTAAAACTAATGACATATAATAATTTTACATGTTATTATCTCTCTCCTATAATAAATATATATAAATATGAGTGACTTGTGACAATAGAAAATAAATAAATGATAACTTCACATACTTGTTATTATATTGCATTTTCAATATGTCTACATTATTATCATAATTAATGTACTAATATAGTAGTAAAGTAAATATACCTATAACTAAATAGAAATTCCTAACAAAAACATTAACATATTGAACAATATATAATAATATACTCTAAAATTCACTAAATGACATAAAACATGAAAAGGTGTTTATTTAAAAATAAGAAAATACTATTGAGTGGTAGTTTAAGAATGGTAAATTACATTGCAATAGAGTATAAGTAGGTAGGTATAATTGATAAATTGTAATACTTTGTAAAACTTACTATTGTCACTTGAGCAAACAAAAGTACAAAGTGGGGTCTAATATAATGAACTACATGATAAAAAGCAGGTAGAGAGGATGACTAACTCTTTGTCCCAAAAACGCGTACAATTACCGTTACCCAGACAAAATAGATGTTGCATCATGACAAAAAAACGTTGTTAAAACATAGAAAATAACTTATATTCATTAATACTGAACATACAATGATCGATTCAATTTGTCACAAGCCCTGTCACGTTCAATTAATGATAACAGATGGTTTTGTATCACAAGTATAGAAAGTAACATAAACAACGACATGTATATAACATTATATATTTATTGGATAATAGTTGCTATACTTATGAGTAAAATAACTTGAAAAGTTGGCTCGAAACACGAAAGTCGATACACTTCCGTAAACCTTTGTTGACAGCCCTGCCCTCATAAACAACGACCCTTTGTCCCACCTAAAGTTAATCAATAAACTTACTTCTAACATCAACTTTCAACTTTATATTAATTAGTGCAACGCAGGAAGTACTTACAGTAATATTTGCGTGTATTTCATATTTCTTTCCATTTTTGCCAACGAATCTGCAGGTCAGTTCGTCGACACTAGCAGACATTATCTGAAACCGTTCATGGCTTTTCGGAAACACTTGTTCTAAAGTTTTGATTTCTAACTTAAGTGTATTTAAGCAAGCCATTAGTGTGGCGAAACACTAAATCTAAACTAAATAATTAATACTCGCGATAAAATACATAGGAATAATTTTTACGTTCACCTAGCGACCAAGCAAAATGGCCGAAAGTAATGGCGGAAATTATTATTTTCGATGTCTTGTACGGACGACAGAGGGCACTAGCAAAGCTCTGAGAAGATAAAAAAGCCATAGATTATATCATGATTATTTAAATAATTTCATGGAAAACTCGACTACAATATTTTATGAGTTCCGATGTAATAACGTGTCTACATACGAAACCATAATTCGGTTTTGAACTTTTGTATAACTTCTACGAGTCTGTAACATCCCAAATTCTTTCAGTTACTGGCCAATGTCTATTTGTATTCTTTACTCAATGTAATAGAGAAAATCATTACATATTTTTTAAATCATTTTGGTATGTAAATGTTATGCAACATATAAATAGTTAACAATACATAAATGCAACATATGAGAAGTTATCGCGATATGGAATATAACTTCTTTATAACCATGATCCATGTTAAGTTTGAACTTAACGAATAAGATGGAATCAATAAGTTTCATATTTGAAGTTTAAATCAGACAGAGATTTTGTTACTTAACAAATAACATGTATTTTTTTAAATAATATACATACGTTTCTTGTCACATATAGCAATTACTAATTCCAGTATTAAAATAATAAATGTAAAAACAAGAATTAAAATCACAAACGAAGTAACAATCAATATTCTTATATAAATTTAACGATTCACATTGTTATTAGTCATTTAAACAAATTGACATTGACATCTTATTTTATTACCTTATCAATGTCACCGAATATCCGTTTTGATTTTGTGTTATTGTAAACAAAATATTTTTTATTTTTATACTTTTCTAATAATTAATTATCGAAACATGTAACACGATTGAAATAATTAATAAAAGAATACTGTTGAACTATATTAATTATGGGCAAAGACGTTAGTCCACCGAGAAATAGATCGAATAAGCGTAGACGATCGTCATCACAAGAAAAATATAACTCTAGAAAGTTTAAAAAATCTGGACCTAGTACATCACTTTCGACACCTGAACCAGCAGATTTTAGTTTTACCAATTACAAGCGAGATTTAAATAAAATAATTCGCTATAGCAGTGACAGTAACACGGTGGTTAATGACCTTGATGATTTTTGGGTATTTTTGAAGAAGTATGAGGCTACTTTGAAGAAAGCCGGTAAACCTTTATTAGCAACTGAATCGAATCTAAATGAATTAAATGATATTGGCGTGCCAGTACATTATTCAAAATTACACTACATCAATTTCGTTACTGCTATAAAATATGTGGATATAGTTTCTGATGACAGTGGGAGAAGAAAATTGGATAAGGAATTATTCAAAGTATTTTTAAATATTGTTTCCATTTATATAGATTTTAAGAATAAAGAGAAGTTTGAAAAGCTTAAGAAACTAAGACAGACACAAAGGGATTTGCCTGTGGCTGCTTACAGGTAAGAATATTTATGGAATTTCTTAATGAAAGATTAGATAAAATTAATTAAGTCAAAATTATTTTATTATGTGGAAAACTTGGCCACTTGTCCACATCATTTTTTTAACATTATCCTTTTTATACAGTTTGTATTTCTGTTGATAAGAACTGGCATGAAGCTCAGAAGGAAAATATTTTTTTTAACATTAATATACTCTATTTAATCATAGAGTGATATAAGTGACACTATGTATGTACTTGTGAATTTTATTGACTTATTTTTGTACAATATTTGATTTCAAATTAGTTACTATTGAGTATGTAAGTATCGGACATAAAGTGGTATGCTAAACTGCTAGACAACCTAAGTGGTATGTATAATATGTGTATGTATTTATAAAAAAATATCTATGTTTTTGTATCAGTTATCTATTTAACTTGAGTCTAGATGGCACTGTGTGAATTGTTCTGAGATTATTATTATTTAAAAAATATTATTTGTAGAAATGAAATAGTATCAGCTGTAAAAAATGAAAGAGTTGTAATTGTGGCTGGTGATACAGGTTGTGGAAAGTCAACACAAGTCCCGCAATATTTAAATGAAGCAGGCTTTCAGAATATTGGTATGGATTTTTTTTAATACTTATGCAATTATTAATATATTGTATAATATAGTCAGTTTTTTCCCAAGTGTGTAATACTTTGTATGTTGTTGATATATTTTTCTGGCATAAGGCTAGCATGAAGAAACACAACTATAACACGGCTAACAAGCTCATGGGGAATAAATGACTATATTTTAACTATTAGACATTCACTGGGTTCCCTATTGCTAGCAATGTACCATGTCAGGGTGACCTCCATGTGGTTCCCTCTGGAAATCATGGTAAATTCCTAGTAAATTTGTCATGATGGGGTAACTGACATGTTCTCATTTTCATCTTATCATCTTCAACTGGTGCCCTGTGAGTTAGCGCAGGTGGCAATTATTCAATTATCATCCATTTAAAAAATGCTCATTGCTTTTTTTTTGCTGATTAAAATAGTAAGAGTAGAAAAACATATTTCAGGTAATATTTTGTTACAGCTTGCACTCAACCTAGAAGAATAGCCTGTGTATCATTATCAAAAAGAGTGGCCTATGAAATGCTATCACAGTTTGAAACTAAGGTGGGATATCAAATTAGATTTGAGAAGAGTCGCACTGCAGACACAAATATATGTTTTATTACCGAAGGATTGTTATTGAGACAGGTATAATTTTAGAAAGATAAATCACTATTTAGAATTCTTTACTGACCATTGTTATGTTGAGAAATGCACCTTATAGTCATTATTAAAAAAATTGAAACACAATAAGATCTAGTATGTTGTCTTAACTTTCTGGGCAGAAAGACACCTGTCAGGGAACTAGGGAACTAGTATATATATTCTTGTTTTTTTTTATTGGATTGTTTGGGCTATTGTCAGATGTTTTTTTTTTATGTGATAATGAAATGGTGCACCCGCCTGCGCTAACGGTTTACGCTGGCGGGGCACCAGTGGAGGATAGCATGAATATGAACTCAGATCAGTTAGCCCATCGTGACAATTTCATCTGTAATTTATCACGATGGTTTCCAGGGGGAACCGCGTGGAGGTCAACCTGACATAGTACATTGATAGCAATGGGGTCAAGAGTCCACATTACTAACAATCCCCATCCCCCCTATTGTCAGATGTTTGTAGCACCTGTAGCACTATAGCCTACATAGATCTATTGTACTCGCCCTTTTTCAAAGTTCGCTGCCTAGATCCGTCAGGGAAAAGAATTGGATATTCTTAGGAGCAATAGTTTTTATCTCCTCGGGAAAGACTGTAAACTTTCCAAAGGAGATATTTTGTTTATGCATGAATGGGCTACAACCACATAGGATGTGTAGTGACGTTTCCTCTTCAGTTTGAGAGACTCTGCAGATTTTTGTCGTGCATAGACCTAGTTTAGCCATATGCTTGTTTAATTTGCAGTGTCCTGTGAGGGCTCTGGTCATTGTGCATATGTTGTTTTTACTCAATAGCAGTAGTCTATTGGAGTATTTGTTCGAGTAGCCCAATATTAGGGCTTTTGAATGTGTCAATCCTGGCATATATTCTTGTTATATATATAGGTATATATGTATTAATTTTAGATGTCATCAGAAACCCTGCCAAACTATGATGTAATTATTTTGGATGAAATTCACGAAAGACATTTAATGGGTGACTTCTTATTGGGTGTGCTCAAATGCCTAATACACAGTCGGAATGACATTAAATTGGTGCTCATGTCGGCCACTATAAATATAAAATTATTTGAAGATTACTTCTCTGCTGAATCTGCAGTGGTTATTCAAGTAAGTAAATGCAGTAATCATTAATTTCTTAATTCAAACCTGATTAAGTTATTCTTATTAAACAGTTTTTTATAATATTCCATTTTTATTTGGAGTCGACGAAATATGCTTTTGTCTTTCATTCATCTGTTCCCAGTGACTACTGTATTTGATTATAATTAATTACTATGTAAATGTAATAAAACATCAAATAGCAAACTACAGTTAATTAAGTACATATGTAATTAAAAAACAAATAATACTCCCAGAACAATTCACACAGTGTCATTTAGACCCAAGTTAAGCAAGCTAAAACTTGTGTTATGGGTAGTAGATAGCTGATACAAATACATAGATATATTTGTATTTCGAAAATACATACATATTATACAAAGAAAACACCAAGTCCGACAAAAACATTTATACTCATGTATACAAATGGAATCAAATGAAATGGAGGATTTGAACCCGCAACCATCGGAACTAAGGCGTGTGCTAAACCGTTAGACTACCGAGGCCGTTATCAAAATATATAGACAAGTTAATTTTTACAGGTTCCAGGTCGACTATATCCCATAGAATTAAATTACAAACCAATATTTATTGAAGAGAAACCCACACGAGATGATAGACTTGATCCTCAGCCGTATGTTCAGATTATGCAACTTATTGACAGCAAATATCCAAGTTAGTTTACAAGTTCATTATTTTTATAAGATTATTAATATTTATTAGATCAGGAATATAAATATTTTTAGTCAAATTAACTCAAATTTAATTACATTTGCATACTAGTAGTCACTTTTTATCTACAACTCAATCGGAATGCAGTTTCAGTACAAAAGCAATGAGGGATGGTGATCTATAGCTAATAGCTTTTTTAGACTAATATAGTCAAAATATGTATGATTAGAAAATAAATAATATATTTTTAAAATTATAGTAATCCCAGTAATCGCAGTATATAATAGTTTTAATACTCAATAAATCCGAAAAAAGGTTTCACAAAAAGTTTGTTATTGTACTCAGGTATTCACTCACAACTATACGTATACGAATTAAATAAACATGAACACTTCTCTCTGCGTGAAATGTTAGAAACATATCTTAATCTTATTAAAAAAATGTATGGATGTTTGTTATTATTTCACGGAAAAACTACTGTTTGAATTTCGATGAAACTTTACAGTAATATAGCATTTATGCATAAGAATAACATATAGGCTATATTTTTTATTGTAATTTAACACGGGTGAAACTACGCGCACAGCTAGTACATACATACATATATAAAATTTATGTACTTATACTTTAGGTGATGAACGAGGCGATCTCCTTATATTCATGTCTGGTGTGCAAGAAATCACGGCGATATGCGACGCAGCACAGCAGTATGCTGAGAAAACGAAGAACTGGATAGTGTTACCTCTTCACAGTGGTTTGTCACTGGCGGAACAAGATAAAGTAAGAAATCCTTTTGATACCATATTTATACATGTTGAATAAAAAGAAAGGCAGAAGTGTCTGTCTGTTTATTCTCTTTATGACTGAACGGCTAAACTGATTATTATGAAATTTATCGAGAGGGTGGACTATATTTGCAGGATGCAGGCATAGTCACAGAAAACAGCTATAATTTTATAAGTATATACTTAGAACGATTTTACTTTTATTCTTCTGTACACAAAATTGTATACGTAGCGAAATTAATGCCTGATGCCATTCTCTATTAGACAGTTGTTCTTTTTTTGTGCAGTAAAACGTAAAGAAAGTTAATTTTATATTTTTATTAAAATCTAGTATCTGTTTAACTTAATATAATGATTATATTTTTATGGCATCGAAGTAAAGGTTTTATTTGATAAATATATATTTTTGTTTGTATTATTTAATTTACGTAAGTACCACCTAAATGATTTGTAAATTATATATGTTAATATTTATGTTACAAATTTATTTCAGGTATTTGATTATCCACCAGAAGGTGTTAGGAAATGTATAGTTTCCACAAATATAGCTGAAACTTCAGTCACCATCGACGGTATAAGATTCGTTGTCGATTCCGGAAAGGTATTAAAATTTTGTATTTCTTTTCTTATCTTTAGATGTTATCTATTATGTATGTGTAAATTTTTTAAACTGAAAATAGTTATTACGTTTTAATGATGAATAAAAAATGTATTTACGAAACAAAACTTTATCATATAGTAAAATCGCTTATAAATCTTGAATCTTTTACTAACAAGTTTTTTTGTTGACAAATGACCTTTGATAACAGTATGTAACAGTAAGGATAAGTATCTACTATTGAATTGAATCTCCATCATATTTAAACTAGTTTAGTCGTTCTGTCTGTGGAAAGATAGAGTAAAAATAACAGTATTTTTTTCATCCCCTCTCCATACTAAATAAAATATTTCATTCAATTTACAGGCTAAAGAAATGAGTTATGATTCGACAACAAAAATGCAGAGATTGAAAGAATTTTGGATATCAAAAGCAAGCGCGGATCAGAGGAAGGGGCGCGCTGGACGGACGGGTAAAATTTATTTATTTATGTACAACTTTATGTAGAGGAAGACTGTATTTCAGTTAAAGAGGTGTGAATGTAAATGAAATTACAGGATAATAGAATAGAATTGAATGTAATAGCAAAAAAACAATTTACACACATTACAAAACCAAGTTAATATGGACCACAACTGAGCATAATGCTGGTAACATAGTTTCCAGCGCTGATTGACAGTTGAGTTAAGAAATATATATGTATATAATATATATTCGCAATATTTTATACACCGTAATAGCCTATAAAAACGCAACTCCTGTATGCCAGTTCGTTTAAGTAAAAAGAAAATATTATAGGGCCTGGCGTATGCTATCGTATATATTCCGAGCAACAATACACGGATCTGGAGCCGTTCAGTACACCCGAAGTGTCCAGGGTACCGTTGTCATCTCTTCTCTTGTTGATGAGTTCGTTGGGAGTCAATGACGTCAGACGGTTTCCGTTTATCGACACGCCGCCAGAGGACGCTGTGGAAAATGCGCTGTTAGAGTTAAAACAACACGTGAGTTTTTTTTTTTACTGCTATGGTGGCACACGTACGTCCCATCTGATGGTGAATGGTTTGTCTATGGACGCTTGAAACACCAGGCGTCGATAGGCTACCAAACTAATTAATGGATTGACATTATTTAGTTTTTTTTTATTATGAATGCGTTTGCGTTTGTGGTCTTGCTATCATCTTAATGAATCGGGCTTACCTCTATTATTACCTCTACTATTATTAGAGACTTGAAGAATCTGGGGTTGTATTTCTCAGGGAACACGAAAACTGGAAGTAATTAATAATTTAATAATTGTTATAGTGCGCTACAGATTTATGCTGAATTGGTTGCCTATTCACCATTGCATTGCACATAAAGCCACCTTCATTTTTTTTATTTGTACATTTAAATCTATTAGTAATAAGTATAAAGTTTTTTTTGTACCCTATGTAATCTATTCCAGGGTGCTTTGAGCTTTAACGAGAAGTTGACGTCACTAGGCAAGGCCCTAGCCAGTTTGCCAGTAGAAGTGTGTCTTGCCAAAGCGTTGGCTGTAGGCGCCGCTACACTGCCCCCTCACAAGCGAGACTCCGCCCTCGCCCTTACAGCAGCGCTGGGGATCCGGTCCATTTATACCACAAGGGCACATAGAGATTTTGAATGTGAAGTAAGTAATTATAAGTTTATATTTATGAAATACTAGCTGTTCCTGCGACTTCGTCCGCGTGGACTATAACTTTATTTTTCTAAATTATAAGTAGCCTAAGTTACTCCTTATTACATCTGCTACCTGCCAAAAAAAGTCCCGTCAAAATCGGTCCAGCCATTTCAGAGATTAGCCGGAACAAACAGACAGACAGACAAAAATTGTAAAAAATGTTATTTTGGTGTATATATTCATATGCATGTAGTACCTAAATACGGTTATTTCAATATTACAAACAGATACTTCAATTTTATTTATATGTATGGATAAAATATTGTACAGTACGAGTGAACAGTGAAAGAAAAGGTGAAATTTGCGAGGTAGAGAGAAAGCAAGTGGGAATAAGAAAAGAAATCAGGAGGTAACATAATATATAAGAGATTACCAGAGTAAGTCGTCCATCCACTCACTCACTCACAAACTTCCGCGATCATAATGTTAGTAATATTTATTAGTGATTTGTTACGCTCCGCAGCTAGGTGGAGTGACGACTAGCGACCTAGGGTTGGGGGTAATCAATGAAAGAGATGGGCTATAGATCGTGCCCAGTGGTGTGTCTTGGGAGAGGCCTATGTCCAGCAGTGGGCTGATGATAATGATGATGACGATGATGATGATGATGATGATGATGATGATGATGATGATGATGATGATGATGATGAAGATGATTTTCTTGTTTAAGAATGCGCGTAAGCCCGAGGAGTCAGACCACGGGGATCCCATAACCCTTCTGTCGCTATACTGTGCGTGGCTCACTGTGAAGGCGGACAGTCGCGGCGGTCGGGCGTGGTGCAAGCGAAGAGGCATCGAGGAACAGCGGCTGTATGAACTCACCAAGCTGGCCGCGCAGTTACGGAGTTTACTGCAGGTGAGGTAAAATGTTTGTGACTATAAAAAAGCAAAACTTTAAGTTAATTATTACATAGTATAAAGATTAAAATATTGCCATTAAACAAAGCAGTGTTTTAAGTAATAAATCTTATAAAATAAAGTCTCTTCTGCAGTCTGTTTGCTTAAATCTTTTAAACTACTCTACGGATTTTAATGCAGTTTTTAGCAGTAGGTAGAGTGATGCAAGAGGATGGTTTATATGTATAATAAATAATAATAATAATAATCTCAGGACAATTCACACAGCACCATCTAGACCCAAGTTAAGCTAGCTAAAACTTGTGTTATGGGTACTAGATAACTGATACAAATACATAGATAATTTTTTTTCGTAAATACATACTTAATATACATAGAAAACACCCAGGTCGATACAAACAATCATACTCATGAATACAAATCTTTGTGCCATGCGAGGAATCGAACCAGCGACCATCGGACGTAAAGCGCTGTGCTAGACCACCGAGGTCGTAAATACATGTACATCCATGCGAACAGGACGAGTAGCTAGTAATATATATATTATTACTTGAAACAAAAATTATGTATCCGTTTACGAAAATTTCGCGGACAGAGCAGTATGAAATTTCGCACACCTATAGTTTATATAGAGTAGGAGTGCAGAATTAACACACATTTTTAACAAGAATTTTAGAACCTAAGTGTCTCGGACAGTGCGGTTTTAGAGGAGCTTCCTCCCGCGTACTTTTAGATTGTAGAATGAACTACCTGCTGAGGTTTTCTCGAGAGACATATATAGCATGGGGTTTTTCAAGAGGGTATCTTGAGGGTCGGTAACAGGCACGTGAGAGCACTGGTGACACGTGTAGGCGTCCATGGGCTACAGTACTTAATCGTTTATCATCAGGTGGGTCGTATCGTAATATAAAAATGTAATTGTATTAAACACGAAGATACTTATTATTTACTCATGGTGCAGGACAATAATTTGATGGAGTCCATAGAACCGGAGGCTATGTCTTCAACGGAGAGGGCACTACGTCACGGCCAGTTAAAACAGCTGAAAGATATGCGAAGGTATATGATTTAATATTACATTATTAATTCAATTTTCTTTTTGTTTCCAAGTATAGTGGTTATATATTGTAGGTAGATTTTTCTATGATTGGCCAGAGTTATAAAATATCCCATATTTTTCTATTGTGGTGCGCGTTTAGAAAATAATTATTTGAATAAAATATTACCTACTTATTTTAATTCTAGAATATTGGGTGTTATTGTCGTATTGTTAAATAAGAGACTCTTATTTCTAATATAATAATGAAACAAATAGATTTGCCAGTTATATATGTAACAATTGTTGATTACCTTGTTTTTAACAGAAATTATTATCTATTGTTTTTTTCTAACCAAAATGATTAAGAATAGACATTATCACTGAGTCGCTATAAAAAATGCACGGAAATTACCTTTTATATATATACTATATAAATTAAAAAATACGGGTTGGCAATAGAAGTGAAAGGTGAAAATTTAAGATAGTATGTATTTTAATGACAATTAAAAAAAAAATGTTAGGGGTTACCCTTATCGCATATGGAAAATAGATAGTAGCTGATACTCAGACCTACTGAATATGCACACAAAATTTCATAAAAATCAGTCAAGCCGTTTCAGAGGAGTATGGTAACTAACATTGTGACACGAGAATTTTATATATATGTAATTCATGTTTCAGACAATACAAACAAAAAGCAGCAGAGGAATCGAAACGCAAGAAACGCCTCAAAGTTGACTCTTGGGAGATCGTAGACGACAAGGATCATGAAAACGATGCCATAGACATCCGGGATATAGAGTTCCGGATGACGAATGACGCCGCCCGGATACGAGCTCTAATATCAGGATCTAGCGCGTCTAGTGGACGAGATCTTATTATGTTGAAGGTTAATTCATTTTTATATTGACGGCTTCAGTAGTCTTGCGGTTTAGCACAATACATTATTTTCCGCTGCTCACGGTTTCGATTCCTCGCATAGTACAAAAATTTGTACCCTATCAGCGTCAGCCTGTTTGCGTCAGTGTATCATTTTGTATTATTATTTTATAAGTAAATAAATAGCAAATGATTGCCTCGGTGGTCTAGCGGTTTAGCACACCGCCTTACTTCCTTTGTTCGCGGGTTCGATTCCTCGCACGGCACAAACATTTGTATTCATTAATATGATTGTTTGTATCGGTCTGGATGTTTTCTATATATAATATATATGTATTTACGAAAAAAATCTATGTATGTATTAGTTATCTAGTACCCATAACACAATCTTTAGGCTTAACTTGGGAGTAGATGGCGCTGTGTGAATTGTCGTTAGATTATTATTATTAATTAACAAACATGTTGTTTATCTATTATCTATCATTTCAGGTGGTTTTATGTCGAGCCCTGTATCCTCAAATTGCTGTAGCAGATGACTTCAATTACTGTAAGGTAATTATAATAACTGTCTTTTTTTTTTTTTCTTATGGATGATATTGGAATCATCCACTCGCCTGCGCTAACGGCTTACTCTGACGAGGCACTAGTGGCGATAAAATGAGCACGAGGTCAGGTCAGTTAGCCCGTCGTGGTAAAGTCACCATGAATTTATCACGATAGTTTCCAGCGGGAACCACGTGGAGGTCAACCTAGCATAGTATATTACTAGCAGTAGCGTTATTAGTCCAAATTATTAAATACTTTTAATTAATAAATAATTTCTTATATACACAGCACAGTACATACAGTCCCTGTAACACGCTGTTTTCAGTGGAAGAGATCTCATGTATCTAATAGAATAGCAGCGCCCGCGATTTCACCTGCGTAAAATTTATAGCCTTTGTGATATTCTGATGAACATAAGTAGTTTTTGCGTGAAAAAGTAACAAACATTCACACATCCGTACTCACAAACTTTCGCATTTATAATAGAAAGATATTTTTATAATTTAATGTTTATGTTACATTTTTCAGTCAAGCGCCGAACAACTATATCATACTTGGAGTAAACCATTCGTGTTCCTACATCCTACTTCGTACTTTGGGAAACAGCCGAAAGTTCTGCAGCTCACCGATGCGGACATTCAAACAGACACGCCGGCTGGGTTTAAGAGCAGACTGCCATTGTCGAATAGACATCAAGTGTTATGTTATTTGTAAGTAAATTAATAACAAAATGGTATATTATTTATAGTATTTATATATGCAGTCCAGTGAAAATATCTTTTCGGCGTTTATATCTCAGGACAATTCATACAGCACCATCTAGTCCCAAGCTAAGCAGAGCTTGTGTTATGGGTACTAGATACATCGATACATTTTTTTTGTAAATACATATGTAAATCATAGATAATATCCAGACTAATACAGGCAACAAATGTTTATACCGTGTGAAGAATCAAATCCGCGACTATCGACAGTACAGCAGTATGCTAAACCGCTAGACTATCAAGGCTGTCGTTGGATTCTAGTCCATTTCGATCAAAATTCATTGTGAATGCGTTAACTGAGTAATACTTTTGATTATTTATTAACAATTTATTATTATTTTCTATTTGCTTCAAAAATGTTTATGACAAGTGTATTTTTGTGTATATGTTTGCAAAATCGTCGTCAATTCCAACAGATTATATCATTTTGCGTAATCACAGGTTTCTCACGTATTTATTGAAGTGCTGTGATTTTGCGAAAACCCGATAAAAAATATTCATACAATAGACTTTTCTTTTCAAAATATTAACACGACCTCGGCGGTCTGGCGGTTTAGCACCCCGCTTTATTTCCGATGGTCGCGGGTTCAATTTTCTGCACAGTACAAACATTTGTATTACACAAGTATAATTATTTGGTTTAGGTGCTTTCTAAAAATAAATAAATATCTAAAGCTTGCGACTAGTTGTGTGAATAGTCCAAGAGTATTATTATTGTAGTATTATTTATTAAGTTAAAATATTGTGTATTTTTTTCAGATCACTATTGGAAACAACTAAACCATACATAGTGAACTCCATGAGGATGCCCGCTGCACAAACATTGTTACTGCTGGCACATTCCATTGACACCAATATGGGTTGCACAAGGTAATAACATTATTATTTTTTTAGGTAACTGGAATGGTAAATAAGCTGATGGTAAGTGGTAACCGCCGGCTACACATATATTTCATATTTATATTATTTTACGAAGGCGGCAAAAATGCATACGGCCCATCTGATGGTCAGTCCCTTCTATATCCTGAGGAGATAAAAACCATGGGTCATAAGAATATCCTTCAATTCTTGTCCCTAACGGGTCTAGGTAGCGAACTTTGAATAGATGTATATGGTATATGGTTGCAGTGCAGGTACTACAGGTCTAAGTACCTAACAATAGCTGGATTTTTATAGCATAGGGGACAAACGAGCTTGCGGCCACACCTGATGGTAAGTGATTACCGCTGCCCATATGAGGCGTTGCCTTTTAAAAAGGAACAACCTCTTCTCTTGAAGGTTTTAATGTCGTATGGAAAAATGTAATGAATAATATATTTGTAGGATTGTGTGCGACTCATGGTTGTTATTGGAGTTTCCATATCCTGAAACGGGATTGAACCTGTTACTGAAAGCGGCCAAGTTAAGACAAAGATGGGAGGCGCTTATTAATCGCCGGCTTGCAGGTGTGTATATGTTTACTAAGTCTACTAAGACGGACTCGATGGTCTAGCAGTTTAGCACACCGCTTTACTTCCGATGATCGCGGGTTCCATTCCTCACACTGTGCAAACATTTGTATTCATGTGTATGTTTCTTTGTGCCGATACAAACAGTATGTGTATATTTATAAAAAATATATGTATCTAAGTATTTATATTAGTTGTCTAATACCCATAACACAAGCTCTGCTTACCGTGGTACTAGATGACACTGTGTTAATTGTCCAGGGTTATTTTTTTTATAAGCTCAACTTTTTTTTTTATTTTAACGTTCTTATAATTCTTAAAATGTCTACATTTGTGAAATGATTATTAATTATTAGTAATTTGATTATTATTAGATTTTCAGGCTTCAGCCGTTTTAATTGTTTAATGTGTTTCTCTGGAACTAAGTTACGCTTATTTAAATACATATGTATATGTTATTTAGTATAAAAATTATATTTATATTACAGATGCTAGTCCAAACAAATCAGTCGAGAACGAACTTCAGAAACAAAACTCTAAACTGCCATATGAAGAGTTACAGCATCAGTTGTCCTGCGATATTAGTTCTTATATGACCAGCGACGTATATTACACGATCAAGAGGCTCATGCCCGGTGATCTGAAGGTGATATACTGCGGGGCAGATGAAGCACACGCAAATGTGGACCCTAATCCGTTCGAAGAAGGCTTCGAATGCCATCCCCATGAGAAAAAAGGAGGAGTTTATGTTACCGACAATATTGTTTATAATTGGTTAGTATTTAGAAACTAAAGATTTTGAACATTATGTTTGAATGCTCAACAATCAGTGTAGATCTCAGATAAGTTCGTGGGAAAATGAAATTAACTCTAGTTGCAAGTAAAATTCACGGTGGTCTAGTTCTTTAGTACACTGCCTTATATCCGATGGTCGCGGGTTCGATTGCTCGTACCATTCAAACATTTGTATTTATATGAGTATCATTCTATGGGTTAGTGTTTTCTATGTATGTCGTGTAGGTATTTACTACTAAAATGTATTGAAGTGTTTCTATCAGTTGTCTAGTATCTGTGACACAAACATTGTTTAGCTTGGGATTAAATTGTGTTGTGTGGATTGTCCAGGGTTATTATTATTATGTTAATTTATTAATTTTATTTTTTTTAATTCAATTGAAAGTTAATGAAAACATATCATTCTTTTCGTACATAAACATGTGATTGCTCTCAAGCCGATAAGAACTGACACAAAACTCAGCTACGTACTTACGTTAAAGGAAAACAAAGTCAGGCTTTTTTTTAATTGAATGTTGCCATCAAAATGTTATCATTTATTTCATGTTTTCAGCGTTATGGATACGGACTGGAGCTACAACATCTACGAAGAAACATACAGCCTCCCATGGTCATGTCCGGACTGTAGCATAACATTGTGCCTTTCACCCCTAGAAAGACTGCAGCATAAACAGTTCACATGCTCTTCTAGAACGGAGCAGAAGGAACCGGAACCGTCGCGAGCGCCAAGGGAAAATAAGCCCAATGCCAAAGAATATAAATGTGACATTTGCAACGATACATTATATATGACGCCTGTTGAAATATTAAAACACAAGAAGAGTTGCAAAATAAAATAAATATTTTTGTTTAATTGAATGTGTATTATTTTTGTATATTTTAATTGAATAATAAAAATGGTAGATATAGGTTGTAAACATATTACGAACCTTTTCTTTAAGGAATTGTTATAAAAAATTGCATCAAATGCAAGAATTAACATTTATATCGTGGATACAGTTTGAATATTTGCGTGTAAATGCCTTCATTTACACGCATATATTCAAACAATATGTTCTTAAGTGGATGCATGGGTTAGTACTTTGTCTAATAACATTTGTTAACTCGGAACATTTCCTTACCAAAGGATCTATATCCAACAAAATATATTAATAATAAGAAATATATCTCAGGACAATTCACACAGCGTCCTCTAGTCCCAAGCTAAGTATAGCTTATGTTATGGGTACTAGACAACTGATATAAATACTAAGTATACTTAGAAAATACCCAGACGGATACAAGCATTCATACTGATGATTACAAATGTTTGTACCGTTCGAGGAATCGAACCGGAACCATCAGAAGTAAAGCGGTGTGCTAAACCATTAGAGTAGCGAGACCGCCATATTAATGCATGCGACTGTAATAGATATAAAATGTCTTTCAACCTTGTCCTTCAAGACGTCTAAATAGTGGGGGCTATAATTTAGCAATTATGTGTAATTATGTGTTTGTCCGTGTGTTGACCTCGCTCTGAAACAATGTCGGCCAATTTGGTTGTCTGCGCCCGGAAGCACGCGTCCAAAGCGATGTGAAAATTACTTACTAGTCGATTTCGGGTTACATAAAATCTACCAATCTATATATAGTCCATAGCTTTTTTATTTGTTTCTTTTCTGTTGTGTTTAATTTATCAGTACATATATATCTATGTACCTATATTTTTAGATTTTTATAATTCAGCGGCAACGGCAAGAGTTTAAGTACCTAGTGGGTTAGTTGTTTAATGTGTTTTTCTGGAGGGGATGACTAAATTTTATTCTATTATATTTTATGTTTATGCTAGCAATGTACTATGTCAGTTTGACTCCGGAACCATAGTCATAATTTCTTAGTCAACTTACCACGATGTGTACCTAAACTAACCAAATGTCATTTTCATCTAATAATTCTCCACTGGTGCCCACCAGCAGAAACCGTTTTTTATAGATGATAATAGAACAGTGCACCAGCTTTCGTTAACGATTTACTCTGGCGGAGCACCAGTGGAGGAAAATAAGATGAGTATGAGGTCAGGCCAGTTAGTCTATCGTAACAAATACACCAAGAATTTATCACGATGGTTTCCAGTGAGAACCTCGTGGAGGTCAAACTGACATGGTACATTGCTAGAAATGGGAGTTACTAGTTCCCATTACTAAAAATCCCATACCCCACGTCTTTATTGTTAACCGGTATCGATAGGATATGCTATCCATCTTCACGAAGACGCCGTACCAGTGGAGGATGATAGAATGAGCATGAGGTCAGTCGGCCCACCGTGACTAATTAACCAGGTGCTTATCACAATGGTTTCCAGGGGAAACCGCGTTGTGGTCAACCTGACATGTTAGATTGCTAGCAATGGGGTCTCAGTCCACATTACTAACAATGCCCTTCCACATTACATTTATTAACAATTTTTAATACGTTGTATCATTAATTTCTATATAATTAGGATTTATGTAGATAAATATCAGGGATGTTATGGATATGAAATTTCGGATACGGATAGGTTTCGGATATAGTAATGATTATTATACCGGATAGGGATACAGATGCGGATATAAAATTATTTCGGATCATCCGTTAGTTTCGGATAATTCGTGTTACGGATTTTTTTAAGGAATTTCAAAAGTAAAATACAAATAGCTAATAAAATGGTTAACGTGTCTCAATTAGGCTCCGCTCCTATCCGATATTATCCGAAATTTTTATTTCGGATTCGGTTACGGTTACGAATATTTTTTTATATCGGATATCCGATAATTTCGGTTACAGTTACGGAGCTCCCTAACATCTCTGATAATTATCTAAACTAGATAGATATTTACCTACCTGCTTAACACCGAACTTCCTAATCTCGTGAACTGATCTCCCTCAGATGGTTAACTTTTAACCTTCTGTTTTCCGATATTATTAAATCCCTACCTACTATCTGAAAATAGATTTTATGGCGTTAAAATTATAGTTTGTTTTTGGATAATTCCGTGCTGTGGCTAGGAGATATCAGGGCCTGTCAACCCGTCACCGTGTAGGAAGCAATGTAAAGATGTTATTTAATGAAATTGTATCATGAAATGAATCTGCAGTGCTGGTGGGTTAAACGAATTCGTGGTTCGTAATAAGCCTCTGGTGGGTCTTATCAATCAAGTCAAGGATGACCTGGTTGTAAGTATAATTGGTTTCTAATAGGTACATACATACTTATTCAAATAAATTTTAATAATTCAATTTCAGCTGCCGAGCAAATAGCTTTATAAGCTGTTATTGTATGAAAATACGTTCAATAGTTTTTGAGATTCTTTCCAAGATATCTACAGCCAGACGCGGCGGGGTTTTTCGTAATATGTTATATATTTAATGTAAATATGTTATATACAGATTAGTACTTAGTTAACCTAACCTAATAGTATGATTGTTACATAAACTACAAAGAAAACACCCAGACAAAATATGTCGATTTATTTATATCACTTGTCTAGTGTCCATAACACAACTCTCCTTAGCTAAAGACTAGATGGCGCTATATGGATTGTCCTGAGATATTGTTATTATTATTAGATATACACCCTTAGGTGTATTTTCCTTAGAAAATCTATGAATCTCCCAAACCCAACCTCAAAGCAAAAGGAACATAAGTAGGTAAACATTGTTACAGGCCATAACTATCTAATCTTTAATGGTTTAACTGCGAGCCAGGTAAACAGATAAATGCCGTGCGAAGTCAGGACAGGCTGCTAGTTATAATTAAACCTGGCCATTATCTGGCCATCTGATCCAACACGTGGAGTCACGAAGATTTCAATTCGCGCCGTCTGCCGTCCGCTATCCCGATTCCTACTTTATGGACACCATGGAAAGCTGATGCGCTGTGGGTTGTTCTAAACTGTAGAGACGCTATTTATTAACATTTATTATTTATTATGTAATTAAGTTATTAATGAATGAATGATTTTATGTATAAGTATTAATATATTAAGGCAACACATATCTATCTAATATCTACTGCTATTAGCTACGTTAGTTATCTGAGTAGTAGTATAGGTATTACATTTTACAGGTATAGGTAGGTACCATGAGTATATCTACTTTAAAAAATACAGCTAAAAGTGTATGTAGTAGAAATATAAATTATAAAAAAATCAAGTAAACAAATTATGAAAAAATTAACAATGAGGACACTTCGATTTAATATATTGGTATAATAATTTGTTGGAAAACAAATGTCACTGAGAACCCCACTCCATTAACTAATACAAGTAATAATTTAATTATTAATAACTAATTCGTGAATAAATTAGGGGTTGTAGCCTGAGGCAAAAAGATCATACCTAGCAAGCACTCTGGCGCCTATAGCCGTTCTTTTCCTAAGCATTCCTGTTCCAAATAAGGCAATGAAGTCCCAATATACCTAAGTATATTTCGAGACACGTTGTATTTAAAATTGATTGGAAACCTATCGATAACTGTTATCAACAATAATTTGCATTTGAAGTTGGGTCTATATATTTCATTGTGCCAACTGAGATCGTTTTCTGAAACAATCGCGGTGGCGGGCGCGTTCGCGGTCGCACGACAATTGCGACGGTGCGGCGGTCGCACGACAGCCGCGATGCATCGCCCAATAGAGTAGTAAATCGTACGATATTTGTTGAGCTGAGATCGTGAGCGATTTAACACGACGTACTATCGAAGCTGCAGTGCCAATGCTGCTATTGACAAATTTAGTTTTAATGCAATACCTATGTCCTATATTTATTTACTTATTTATTTTAAAATGTTGTTTTTGCTGTTTGGTTACATATTCGGAAATTAATTGCTGATTATTTTATTAAATGTTACCTAGTCATATATAATATATCTATATGGAAAAATTTTGAATGATAGATATAGAATGTAATATAGAACTAGATAAAACGTATTTAGGTCTATTTATTTCATTATCACGATATTCGCGTTAATTCATGTTTTCACTAAAATACACTGACTCTTCGTAATCATCTGAAACGGAATCCAAATTGCAGTATAGAGTTAAGTTTATCAAATGAATCAGCAAAATTAGGTTTGGGCTTACCTTTTTTGGGACATTATGCCAAATTCAATGCTGTATTCCAGATCTTATTTATCTAAATATTTTTAAACAATTATACGAATGGTTTCTCCATTCATTCGTATTTGATGTGGATAGCAGCACTGGTAGGTAGTGTGCATCTTGTGGACAGGAGATAGGGCGGCTGCGATATCACGGTACAGATGTCCAGACGGCACGCAATACAGCGGTTCCCACTATAGACACTTAGACAAGGTTTCTCTAGGTATCTAGATAAATTCAATTATATGTACTTGAACAATTGTTTTTTGTGGATGATAATGAAATGTTGCATGCGCCTGCGTCACCAGTGTAGGATAGGACATGATGAGCACAAAATCATGTCAGCTGTCCATCATGGTGAGTTCCACAGGAATTGGCCACGATAGTTTGGGGGAAGGAGATCGTTAGTAATGTGGACTACAGAACCCATAGCTAGCAATCCATATCAGGTTGACATGCACGCTATTTGCTGTGGAATTTGGATAATTCTCTGGTGTACTTGATGATCCACTATAGGCTAAATGACCTAACCTTATACTCAACTTATCCTACACTGGTGCCCCGCGCAAACTTAGTAACGTAGGCGGATGTGACAGCATTATGATCCGTTAAAAGAAACACCATAGGTTATTATACAATTAATTACGTGTAATAGACATATTGTAAATATTGTTATCAAATTGTAATTATTATTTATTTTGTATGTAATTATTTTGGACATTTTTCTAGTTAAATAT